GAGAGAGAGAGAGAGAGAGAGAGAGAGAGAGAGAGAGAGAGAGAAAAGAAAGATATCGGGGTAGTGAAGGTGGAAAAAATGAAAAAAAGAAAAGAAGGTAGAGGTAAAGGATCGTGGAGCTTGCGCGGGCGTCAATGTTACCGCGAGTTATTCCCGTCACCTGACCCTGAGGAGCTCAAGCTCGCGCGAGGATCTATCTCCGTTTTACCTGCTCAGCTTGGGCATCAGCAGGCCAATAACCAAGGCGAGGTGCGTCCGATCGAGGAGCTGTCGCACACACACACACACACACACGCACGCACACGCACACAGTGGACGTTTGGCGTACACGAAATGTAAGGAAATTAAACTCGACCGCTCACTTCTCTCGAGGGAATGTGAGCACGGTTTTTATCTTGGATAAAACTAGATCTTACTAATGATATCAACATCTTCTCACTTCTGCGCTCTGTACTAAAATTTCAAGAAGAAAAGAAAACGAAAAGCAATATAAGGGAGGAGGGAGGGGGGGAGATATAGAGAGAGAAAGAGAGAGGGAGAGAGAAAGAGGGGGAAGAAAAAACAAGTAGCCGTCCGACGTGAGAGAGCACGCTCCCAGGTGCTCCAGTGAAAAATCCAGCGGTACAAGAGGAAGCACTCGAGGTATCTCCGGTAGCAATCGTGGAAGTGTTTTATTCCATCAGTACAATTCCACAGGTACACAAGTTAACAAACTAACGAGTTACATCCAAAAAAAAAAATCAAGTACAACGCCGGCGCATGATGGATATGTCGTACGCGTCGTCGACGCGAGGTCGGCGCGAGGGGACGCGAACATGCGCAGGAAACGAGGGGAAACAAGAACAACGAGCAACGGAAGAGAGACGAAATCTCGTTCCTCGCGAGAGCGGGAGGATTGCTTCCCGGGAGCACGGCGACGGCGACGACGGGCCCAGCGCAGGCAGCTCATCAGGGCGAGTCGATGATGTAGACGCGTTGGCCGGAGTGTTTCCTACGTATGTGCTGGCTCACGTGGCCCCGCTGCTTGCTGCGAGTGCCGCAATACGGGCATTTGAACCTCGGCGTCAGGCCGCATTCGTAGCGCAGGTGCCGCCTGAGGCTTTTGATCACTGTATAACCGTTGCCACACTTGGGACACACGTGGTTCCGACGACCGTTCCCTCGGCGTCGGATCGACGCCCCACCCTGACCAGCGTCGAACTTCACCGAGTCGTACGGCTCGCCGCCGCCGTAGCGTCCGTAAAGAAGCCGGTAGGAGCGCTCCACTGAAAACAAAACAAGAAAACGGTTAGTAGAGAAGCAGGGGAGAAGCGAGAAGATCGCGGGTGATCGAGCCGACGATAGAGGCGCAAAAGAACGAAAGTACGGAAGAGAAGCACGGTCTCCTCGAAAGGTGGACCGGCGGTGAATACGAGCGCGATGATTCGTCGCGTCGAGGCAGGAGTGTCCGCGCGAGAGAAGCGGTCCAACTTGTGTGACACGCTTCAACTGGTCGGCTCGAGCCGACTTATCTATGATACACAGACGAAAGACAGACGACGAAAGACACAATACTGTAAAAGCTATAATGTAAACGTTACATCACCTCTCGATCTGACCACGCAGCTTAGGTTCGCAGTCCGAATGCCCGAGTCCGATTGGACGGCCGCGCAGTAGTACACCGTCTAACGTGGCAATGCGACTGAATTGACTAAAAATCACTCGCCAAGTCGATCGGCAATAAGGGCCTCTCGATATCTCAAGAAAGCTGAAATCGGGCATGGAGATTCTACCGAGAGAATTCCTATGGCCTCTTACGCGCGTGATGTTCCTACCTGATCGACGACGACGAGTTGACAGACGGAAGCGTGTTCGAAACACCCGGTCACCTGTTCCTGAAAGTAAAGCAACTCGTCGCGCAGTTATAAAAGCGCATAACTCGAGGCATAACCGGCGAAGAGAAACAAGGCAATCAACGACGAGCCCGAAGACGAGAGCACGACCGGAGTGATCTCGAGACGGATTATGTTGCTGTGGAGACGTTTATTACAGTTATACTGGTCGATATAATATATAATAACACTGCTCACACGCAGTACCGAAATACACGACATACGATTCGTTAAGATTTCAGGTTGATCACGTAGACCCTTTGGTCGGGATGCTTCTTTCTGATATGAGAGTACATCTGCGAGGCCTGCTTACTGCGCATCTCGCAGTAAGGACACTTAAAACTGGGCTCGTGGCCGCACTCGTAGCGCAGATGTCGTTTGAGGCTTTTCATCACGGCGTAACCGTTGCCGCACTGGGGACATACGTGGTTCCGCCGACCGCGCCTCCGTCGACGTCGAATCGATGTCACCCCGACACTCTGATACGCCTCGAACTTCACCGAGTCGCATGGCCCGCCGCCGTAGCGCACGTCAATAAAGAGCGGATCCACTGAAACCAGACAATAAAACGATTAGTGAGGAGGAGGAGAGGAGCGACGATCGCGGGTAATCGAAACTGATGAAAGAGGCACGAAAGAATCGTCGGAGAAGAACGGTCCCCTCGGAACCGGTGGACCGACGTGAACACGAGCGCAATGTTCGTCGAGGAGTGAGCGCCCGCGAAAGAGACGTCCAACTTGCGGCACGCTTCAACTGGTTCGAACTACGTGAGACCAGGAGAGCGATCGTGTAATTTTTCCCCGGGACGAAAATATGAAAAGCGTGGACATTTATATAAATGTTTTCAAATGAGAAAATCTACCCTTTTCCCCCCCCCCCTCCCTCCTTCCTTCTCTTTGATCTCCAAGGGATCATGAATCTTCTCGTGTAGCGTGAATTCGTGAAAAGTGTAAATTTTCCAATTTAAAAATATTCGTGTGCATGTGAAAATATTCACTTCTCACGTTTCCAACCTGAAGAAAAATTATACAATCGTAACCTAGGTCATAAAGTGACGCTGCACAGGGGAGGACCTAGAAACTAGAACTTGGAATCTCCGTGGTACTTATTTTAATGACGCTTGTCCTTTGTCATCCTTCACCATCTATTCCCATCTAACAAAATTTTCCTGAGCGGTAAACACATTCATTTTTATACATTTTAGCAACGTGTTTGTTAGTGGTTGATCCTTTCGCTGATGTTTCAAGGCGGCCCAAGAATATAAGTTGACAATGAGGTGGTCGAATGTTGTTCGAGTTCGACTTCCCACATTTGTCATTAAAATATGCACCAAGCTTTCTATGATGCATAGAAAGATATATACTAAAGATAAGACGAAAGATATATACTATGATATGCAGACACAAAACTCTACGAAAACGTAACATCAACATTCTATCACCTCTCGGCCAGATCACGCAGCTTCAGTTCGTAGTGTGAACACGTAATTTGACGCCTGTGTAGTACATCGTCCAACCTGATAATACGACTGAATTGACTAAAAATCGCTCGTCAAGTTAATCGACAATAAGAGCCGCCAACATCTGGAGAAAACTCAAATCGAGAATGGAAATTCAAACGGGAGAATTCCTACGACCTCTTGCGCGCGTAATGCTCCCACCTGTTCAACGACGACGAGTTGACAGACGGAAACGTGTTCGAAACACCCGGTCATCTGTTCCTGAAAGTAAAGCAACTCGTCGCGCAAGTGTAAAGGGCATAACTCGGACGACCGGGCGAAGAGAAATAGGGGCAATCAGCGGTGAGCCAAAGACGAGAGAGCGATCGGAGTGATCTCGAGACGGATTATGTTGCTGTGGAGACGTTTATTGCACTTATATTGGTTGATATAATAACGCTGCTCGCGGTTTGTCAAAATACACGACATACGTAACGATTTGTTAGGATTTCAAGTTGATGACGTAGACCCTCTCATCGGGATGTTTCTTTCTGATGTGGCAGTAGATCTGCGAGGTCTGCTTGCTGCGCAACTCGCAGTAAGGACACTTAAACCTGGGCTCGTGGCCACACTCGTATCTGAAGTGGCGGTTACGATTGCTCTTGAGAGTGAAGCCATGCAGGCACTTGGGACAGTAATAAAGGGCCTTCTGGGTCTTCTTGGAGCTACAGGGAGGACGCTCGACAACAGCGGGCGTCTCGATCCCGGGACCTACGAAGCTCATCAAGGAGTCCATCATGAGAAGATCTGAAAAACAAAAAGCAAATTGTGAGACTTAGCCCGGTTTGTCTGGCAACTTTCGACTTCAGACGAATCAAGGAGGGGGGGGGGGNCAAGGGGGGGGGGGGGGAGTCTCTAACGGTTAAATAACCGAGAGGCGAACCGCCGTTTACCACTCCGAGACAGAAACAGCCGATCCGCGCGCTCGAAAGGAGAGGGGGTGGGAGGGAACGGGGGAGGGTCGAGGATACTCGTCACTGGTCCCGGAGAACATGTCCCGGCTCGTTAGATGTCCGCAGAGATGCAAGGGGTCTTTGGCGACTCTGGCATAGATGCAAAGCACACAGACGTAGGTAGAGAATTACGCGAATTTTACCATAGTAGTGATATTAGTCTCTTGTGACACGCGGCTGGACGTGATGTGATCGGNTATATATACATATACATATACATAGGGAGGGGGAGAGAGAGAAGGAGAAAGAGGAAGAGAGAGACATCCATCGTAGTTAGTTCGAGCCGCAAACAGGCACGCATCGCATTAAAAACTGTATGACAGATCATCTACCGTGCAGCTGTGACGAATTTGTCGAGTCCTGTATCCTGGACGTTTTAGTAGAAGCAACTCGAGGAGCTCCATTTCAGAGGAAGAGAGAGGGGGGAGAGAGGGGGAGAGAGAGAGAGAGAGAGAGAGTTCGAAGGCTCGGAGTATTAAGAGAAAGAATAGTGAAGAACATCCGGCGGATAGGGTGTCCGAACATCAATTTATTTTTATCTTACATTTCCACAGCGACGATATACGATCATAAAACATACCGTGGGAAATCGCTATCGATAAACCGACGGTGAAAACATGTTGCGTTCCTAATCGGCCAGGTACCGGGCGGGGTGTCTTAGCGTACCCGTCGAAGTGGCGGAGCTCGCTAGCGCGAGAAGCGGTCGCATAGCGTGGAAAATTCGCGCGCACGCGACGCTAAGATACCCCGAGCGGATGAAATCCCTCGCTCGCTCGCATAACTCGACGTCCTAAAGTCTAGTGAACGTGAAACTTAAGAGTCGAGAAGACCTAACGGAACGGTACAAAGAGCTATCATCTTGACGCGCGACGACGACGTTCGACATTAGGGCGTTCTCAACGCCCGAATCGCGCGCGTGCAAGTAAAAGCACGAGTATACTTATATATCGCTACGCGATCGATAATTATATCACAGCAACAAAAACAGTCGGCCACTAACGTGTCGTGTAGGTGTCTCTAAGACCCTTCCGTCGCGCAAAGGCAAACGGACGCGAATCGCACGAAGAGACGGGCGGCCCCCCGTCAATCGAGCCTCGCGAAAACTCATTGTATAATAATAACATGTGTTGAACGGTGTGTCAGTAACGGTGTGTCTTCGCAACATGAAGAGCAACGTTTCGTTAAGAACTAATTCCACGATGTCGACGGCCGATTACATTCTACACGTCGCTCGCTCGCTGTATCGCTCGCTATGGTGTTCTGCGAATGAGTGAATGTATATATCGATGTACCCGCCGCCCATCGTAGAAAATCAAATCAAAGGAAGGGGGAGGGGGGAGGCAACACGTGGTTCCATATCGATTAACAAACAGAAGGTAACTACGTTTGTTCCGACCGCTTAACCCTGTTCTTTCAGACTTTCTGCTCCCGTTAGTAACAATTCAGTCTTCGTGTCGAGCGCCTTGGGCGCGTTGCTCGCTTATTAACAATTCCGATTCGTCAATTGTAAAATCAACAACAATTCTCCACCTAATAATAACGACCATCGGTCGCTAGTGATGGGACTGACTAGTCAGCATCGTTAGTACGTCGAGATGCCGTTTACGTTTAAAATTCATACTTTAGTATCGTTCTTCCTAGAGAATACGTTCACGAATATTTGAGATTGATTGATACACAAGTGTGATTTTAGTATCAATACATATCAATTATTTTAAGGATGTTTTTGAGCCATTGCAAGATGTAAAACGATATAACGATAAATAAAGCATTTCAAATAGTAGAGAACAAATCTATAAATATATGCTTTCACACATAACGACGGATAATATAAAAAAGAACGAGTCGATAAATCACAAAATTCAAATCTACCTCTTGCGAAATATAAAAAGGAATTTCTCTTAGCTTAACCTAACTCGTTAAATACGTCGATAAAGAAACGAATGTAACAATAAACAGCCATTGCGTGTGATCATATGATATAACGATGCGGCAATTAAAATAAATTTTCGCGTTATCGTTATTAAATAGTATTATACAACACTTTTGTACAACATTTAATTACCCTACGATACTTACGTTTTTATCGTATTTGCATATACTTTACCTTTGTAAATTTATCTTTTATTGCATCTTTATATTTTCTATCTCACGCAAAAGTAAAACTTTCTCTGTTCGTCCTCCCTTCATTGAGTGGACATCGTATGTTATATATATCGACAATATTATCGGAGAATATATAAAAAAATATACTTACGCAATAAATAATGTAAAATTTAATATTGAGAATAAAGATTCTGAAAATGTAAAAGACAAGTCGATCGAGATTTGCGATAATTGACAGGTCTCAATAAACGAACCTCGATACCAATGATTGTTTTAGTTCGTTACCTAGTTGACTCTATCATACGATGATGTATGTCTTATATATGTTTGCGCGCGCGTGTGTGTGTGTGTGTGTGTGTGTATGTGCGGGCACTAAATATATATATATATATTTAAATGTATATCGACTTTTCTAATGAGCGCGACGGCAAATCAATCCCATCACTACCGATCGCTCACTCCTACCGTCGCTCCCGCTCATTTATTGTAGACTGATCGATCCTGGTACCTTAGAGATGCACGCAAATGTTTCCTCGTGTTCCATCGTCAACCTCACAACCTGAATCGTTAAAGGTATACAGCTATATCTTAAAAAACATACGACTCTCTTAAAGCTCCTAATAATCGAAAGATTGCTTATTGGACAGCGCGCGAATGCCGGAGCTCTGAATGTGCGCGCGTTAAGCGCTCCCTTTTCCTCCCAAGACCCTCGCGAGAATCCTCCCTCTTTGTCGCCTCAAGCACGGCGATACCTGGTATGAAGTGCGCGGAGGTGCACCGGTCCCCGAGCATCGACGACGGTGAGCCATCGGCCGATCGCTCGGGGCACATTGAGAGGCTCCGCGCGCCGGCTCTCGTTAATTGCTAAGCATGGAGATACTTCGTAACGTGTAAAGACGGAGAGAATATTTTGACGATAATACTGAGTCCCATTATTCCAGCCGCTACGAATCTCTCGCACGGTTCGTCGTTTCGCAATATATCCTCCCGATAGCGGCGGACCTCTCGCCACGACCAGGGCCTGCAGGGTCGCGCTCTCGCCTCATGTCATGCTCTCATTCTCGACAGGCGCGCAAACACTATTCGCAACACGGCGACACGGATGAGCCCGACAGAAGCGTAGGAACCGCACCGCGCTCGTGAAACTCTTAACAACTAGGGACGTTCATGATATACATCTCCCCGCGAAGATGTCGCTCAGCCGTTCCGCGCGGCTAACGAGGATCAGGACGCGTTGAACGATCGATATATGACGCCGACGGCTGCCCTGGACCCCCAGCGGGATTAAACACGCGCCTGATTCCCGAAGCCGCGCGACAGACCGACTCGACAGATCGTCACTCCCCAAAGTGCAATCAGTGTGTCTTCATTGAAATGCTATACCCACGGTAATTCGGTCATGAGCATCGAACTGCATTGAAAGAAGGATTTGGTAACAAGTACCAAAATTCGGTTAATTTTGGTGCCGACCAAATATTGGATTATTGCAACCAAATAATTTCGTTTCCGTATACCGTATATATGGAACTAGATTGTTCAGTAATCAAACATTTGATCGGTATGTATTAAGTTTTAATACTTGTTACCAAATCCTTCTTCCAGTATGTAACCATACCGGAACGAGCACGCCTTTGTTCTCGAGCGATCAGAGCTATGTGAGAGAGAAATAGGAAAACCGCCTATCCTCGTCTAAGTGCAGCGACCACATTTTTGGATGTACTATGAATTCTGACAATACTTATCATTGCAAGCATTTTTCACACGCGGAAATGTTATTTCTTCAAAAGAGACTATCCCAGATTCAAGTTTGTTTTGGGAGCTTCTGTGCTGAAAGCGTTATTCTATCTTTATCGTTCATTACACGTTGAAGGATAATAGAATGATGCTTTCAGCACTAAAGCGTCCAAAACGATCCAGGTAGACATATTTTGGTATATTGTCCGCATCGTGATTAGCATACATACGTTAAGATGCGTCCTCACACAACAAGAATTCTGTCAATGTATAAAAGAAGATCATCTGATGCCATAAAAATTGCGGCAATATCGCGGCGATATTTTGTTGCCATAAATATTGTCATAAATATTGCTTATTTTGTCCGAAAGAGAAAGCAATTAATCCAGAATTACACTGTAGTAATAAGAAGTCAATACTTTGATTAAAATTATGGCATAATAAATGAGTATTTCTTAAAACAAGAATATTTTAAACACGTTGTGCTGTTGCAATGGCATCATAAAGCATTGAATGCATACCATGTTCAGCATTTTTGTCTATTCGGGAAACTTAACTTATACCGGCTTCTACAACACATCACAGAACTTAAACACGTCCATATTAGGAATGTTTTTAGGCATTATAGTTCACGCTAAAAAGAGATATGGTACCAATACGATTCAAACTACCTCCGTCTGATCGTCTGCCACCAAGATGGGGATGTGGTCGTGTGTTCGAATATGATTATGTTTCAATGGTCACAAACGTAGCAATCAATAAAATTTCGCTGAAAAGATCGGTTAATAGCACATATAAACAATATCAATTAGTCAATATCAGTTCACAGACTGTTCGTGCATTGCAGTTACAGATGTAAAATCACGCAAGGCGCATGTGGAAGGCGTTAGTTTCATCGGCCCAAACACATACCTGGACTCGGTACAACGTAAATCATACCACCACTGCTGATTAAGATCAGTGGAGGTACAAAACGGAAGAATAAAGCAGGAATGTTTCTGTCAAAAAATCAATGAACATTGAAATGATCATCGGTGAGAAACATTCCTTTGATACTGATTTACATTCAGAAACACGTTCACTGATTCACTTTGAGGGAGCACGACGACTTCCTCGCGCGACGAGCGTGAATCGCATAAAACCTATCTAATGGGAGCCCGAAACATCCAATCGAAATGCTCGCTTTATTCACGCGAGTGCGGTTCTCCGAGCGTCCGTTGCATCGCCGTTGCATAAAAAGTTCATTCTCCCCGCGAGGATGAGACACCCCACAAAGGTAACTTGTCCTCGACCTTCAAGTTTACCACGTAGACCCTCTGACCGGCGTGTCTGGTCCTGATGTGGGACATCACGTTGGACGTCTGCTTGCTGCGGAACTTGCAGTAAGGACATTGAAAGCGCGGCGGCTGGCCACACTCGTACTTGAAGTGCCTGGTCATGTTGCCCTTGACGGTGAAGGAGCGGCCGCATTTGGGACAGCGAAACGGCTTATCAGGGGTGTTCCTCACAGCCACGTGAGGATAATAACTGTTGTTGCTCTCGGTGTCGAAGCCTTTGCCGGATTGCAAGATGTAATTGAGGTCCAGTTGAGGAACCGCCGCGTAGAAACCTGAAACTTAACCAGTCAGCCGGTTAGTCGGACGAAGCACGTCGCCACGTGCGTGAAGAGGCTCGAGGGTGTCAGCCCGAAAACCAATGAGAAGCTTTCGGACTCCCCTCGGCGTGGTGGGGAGCGATTGAAAGGTTTCTTTTCACCGGATTTTTGGTACGTCATGCTTTGCTGTATTGCGTTAATGAAGATGGGAATACCTTTGAGAACCGCGAGGCATCTTCCTGACGAACCTGTTATTCGGCAAACGCCCGTCGCGCGGGCTACGGTGACGCAGAAGCACGGTGATTTTACGAAATGCTATTGGAATCTAAGTTGCTACGAGTGTTCGTACTCTTTTATGTCTTCTCTTTTCCTTGCACCTTACGAAACTACGTTTATCTAGAGATCTATATCCGAGAAATCGGAGTCAGTTGATGTGCAGTCTTCGGGTGATGAGAAAGAGAAAGACACAGATTCGTTCTACCCGCGGCTGGTAGTATACGTGGAAAAGGGACGTGAACAAGAATGACAACGAGTGTACCGCCGCCTCGGTTAAAAGACTCGCATCCCGGCGGCGGACACCAGAATATCACGTAAAATTTTATTCTACAAAACAACATACAAGCGAATCATCATAGCTCTTACAAAGTAGAAGCAACGATCTCTCCGAATCTTATATTACGACTTTAGCTATATCCCAAAGTTAGAATCTCCTCAGACGATCCTTGACTCCGGCTATTGCTTGAGTCTTCAGTGTGGCGCGAGACAATGTCCCTCATCTCGGAATGCTATCGACCACCGGCGAACCTCTTCCATGTCCAAAGAGGCTCGAATATCAGGAACGTAACATAGAACCCGCTCGATCAAACGTATGTGCATCGTGTCAGATGAAATCGAGTCAGAAACTTCAAATTTGAAACGGCTGAGAAGAGTTTTCCGAACTCTAAGAGATTCGGGTGGCGAAGAGACGTAGGCATCGTGAATTTTGACGGAAACGGAATAAAACGCGAAATAAAAAAAAAAGTATGCGTTAGACCTTTCGTTAGACCTCATTTGCCGAACCTACATCGCCAATTCTGTTCCCATTTCCAGGAACGATCGTACTTTTCTCACGGAAAAAGAAAACGCGGCGATAACAAACGGTACTGAGAAACATTAGCCTCGATTGGTGACGTGCGATGATCGCGGCAAAAAGCGAGCCCAATGGAGAGGTGAAATTCGCTCGAGTGGTTTGAGATCAGGCTTGAAATGGGAGACACGCGCGATCTTCGTGCTCAGAGCTTCATGTCGAAGATAAAAACCTCCTCTTCCGGGTGTTTCTTCCTGATGTGGGCGTACACCGGCGAGGTTTGCTTGCTCCGTAGTCCACAGTAGGGGCACTGAAACCTCGGCTCGTGCCCGCACTCGTAGTTCACATGGCGATCTTTGTTCCTCTTCAGGGTGAAGCCACGCCCGCATTTTTGGCACTGGAAGGGCTTCCTCTCGTCGGCCACGGCCTTGCGCGTACGTATCCTCGAGGTCCTCGACGCCTTCGAATTGTGCGAATTGTTCCCGGTCGTTCCCGGCCGATACTTGCAGATCATATTCGGTCCGAACGGCGGCAGCACGTGCAGCCCTGAAACACGGAGACGAAGATGCTGAAGAGCATGCTCGAGTGCGCGCGAGAGATGAAAGTTTTATTGATGACCATCGGCCGTTCAATCTAGGCCGCCATCAGGTTCCCCAGCACAAGCAGCGTATAACGAAAATGATTAAATCTGTAAGATGCTCCTCGCGACGTGACCTTGCACGTACTCAGCATCTCCGTCTTCGTCTGTACACACGTCGTAAATAAGTAATCTATGCGTGCGACGTTGCGCGATGTTAATTTTATAAGACGGTAAACCGACTGTAACATACAGTCGACCGACGAATCGGACATATGTATGTCCGATCTGTGGTGAATCTTTATTGACCGATTGACGGGACCGATGAACGGTACCGCCTAGCATGCGGTAGCCGGCGATGATCTGCAATTGATTGAGAATCTGATTAACACACATTCGCATTCCTCGGTAGAAAGAAAGCGAGAGAAGGAAGAAGAAAAGAGATGAGTGATGTGTAGAATCTCTGGGATCGGTGTAGATCGCAGCAGATCGTTAAGCACAGGGCTGGTCGCAAATGAACCACACGGTGCTTGGCAATCCAACTGCTCGTTTTATTAAAATACAAAAACAATCGTATCGGCGAGCGTTCGACGTTGCTTTTATCGGGGCCGAAAATAGACGCCCAGCTTTCGGTCGAAAAACAACGCCTTGAGATGCGGATGGTGAACGCGCAGGTGGCGCATAATGTGCGTCTTCTGGTGATTCTTCATCGTGCAGTGCGAGCACTCGAATCTCGGCGGCTGCTTGCAACGATGTCGCAAGTGCGCCAGCATCGATTTCTTCCACTTGTACAAGTTGTGGCAGCTTGGACATTCGTACATGCCGTTGCGCCGATTGATGGAGATCTCGGCCGGCCGCGTTCCGTCGCTCTTGATGGCCCATTTGAGAAGGTCGCCTGAAACCCACGAAAAAGACAGGAGCGTTTTAGTAACGAGCCAAGCCACGGCCGCAGCACGTAAAGGAAGACACTCGTCTGTCTTGCAAAGTGGAGTCGCCACATCGGCGCTCTTCCACGCACCGGTAAATAACGACGATCACGTGTAAACGAGACTCTGCTCACCGTGTTCGTGAGACATGGACGTTATGAGGCACGAACAACTCAACGGGCATCACTAGACACAGGGGCAGCAAAGAGAACAATAGAGAAAGAGAGATAGAGTAAGAGAGAGAGAGAGAGAGAGAGCGAGAGAGGAGAGGAGAGAAAGATTTTTCGATGAAACGGTAGCCGTCTTTATTGGCGCACGCGATGGAGCAAGGTGAACGAACACTTTATTACAATCTTCTCTCTATATACTTTAACGGCTACGTAATATAAAATTTCCCGTGCGTTGTCGTGCGTAAGAGTCGCTTCGAGAGTCGTGTGATCCGACGGTTCTTCAGTACATCATTTCGATTTTCAGAGGTCCAAAAGCAACCGTGGACAGCGGTAACGTCCGCGTAACTACGAGTCTTACGCATAAAGTGCGACTCGATAGTGTCGAAAACTGCGATCCGACCGGTAAGAGCGTTAGAGTATCAGTGGATTGTCATCAAGAATAAGTCTTATCACGATTGTGTTAAACGATGCTTAACCGACTATAAAGAACTTACGTATTATCTTTCGAGAAGTTGCTCGTATTATTATAGATATTATTTGTACAATCGTTCCTTTGTAGCTTACAGCAACGTTGCTTGAGCTTGGGAAATACGCCAACGTGAACGACGGAAATTCGGTTGGCGTTAAGATTGTAAACGTGTAAAATCGTCGAGTTACAATGTTTTACAACGACCCGGAGGGGAGGCGGGGGCGGATTATTGAAAATCGAGTTTCTCAAAGAGGAATCAGTTTATCCTTACACACAAAATTACCTACGTGATGCACGTAATAAAACATAATTACCTAACAAAGCATAATCATCGACGTATGTATCTCGCGACGGTTCGACCGACTCGCGCATATATCACATGTAATTACAATTAATACACAGAAACGCACGCGCGACAGCATCACGCGGAAATTGCATCGTCCCCGGGACGCGAGAGACGCGAGACGATCCCGTTTCTCGCATCTCTCGCGCGTAAAAGTCTAGAATATATGCACGTGTGATATATTCTCCGCACAAAAGGAAGAAATAAAAAATATACAAAAATAAACGAGCGAGACGATATGTACACGAAATATACATCGAGCTCCTTCGACCATCCTCCTATCGTAAGACGCATGTAAAATGACGTTCGACAACGCGATCGAAAGAACATGACGGGAAGTCCGATCGCACCCAGCCGGCTCTTAAGATGCCAACTCATGAGACGCTCGTTGCAGCGTCGAACATGGTCACGTGGTCACAATCTGACGCGTCTAAGAAGAGAAGTTGAAATTTATTCGTCTTCTAGGGTCATGAACCGACGAGGTAATACTAAAGACCACTGGCATTACGAAAATACAGAAAATCCCGCTGTTAATAACCTCTAGTCCACTTAATTTGTCCAGTTAATTTGTGTCAAATTCAACGTAAATAATAACTACAGAAATGCAGTTTCATATAAATATTTAATATACTTCATTGGAAGTCAGTGTACATGTCGGTAAAACACCGAGAAGGGTTTCTGTAAATTATAAAATTAATATTTTTATTACGACTTAAACTAAGAATGGTCGGTGTTGCCATCCTTCTTCAATTACTTCCAGGCCCTTTTCCCCGTATGAAAATTTATGCTGAGCTGAGGGTCTTCAGTATCACCTCGTCGGTGTGTCACACGTCATATGAATTGCCAATTTGGATATTCAAATGCTTTATATTGCTCATTATGTCCTATTATTTTTTCCTACTCAGTCTCTTAACGACGTATAACATTTACTTGGGAATGACATAATTCTCGGAGAGAAACTATGCGAGATTGACGCGCTGTAATGTGCAAGATTCGACGCTGCTTCGTGCGTTTTCTCACTATCCAGCAGCAACTTCAATCACGTGACTTGATTTTGACGCTAAAAATGAGCGACGAACGTCAGCATGAAAAGGCACCTTTAGTCATTTCGATGCCAAGAGAGCCTCGCGTTGGTAGCGATGTCGATGCAGTAGAGCTCGCTGTTCGGATGAAACGTGCGTATGTGCGTCCACACGTGCGTGCGCTGGCGCAAGTGGTGCTTACAATACGGGCACTCGAAACGCTGCGGCGTGCCGCACTCGTATCTGTAATGCCGCGTCATGTGACTGCGGTGCTTGTAGCTGCGGTCGCACTTGGGACAGTGGTGCCGGTCAGCGGCGCTCGGGCCGTAGCTGATGCTACGTTGGCTCCGCAGGGACCACTTCAGGAACGAACCTGGAAAAAGAGAATTTGCGCCGGTTAGTCAAGCGAGGCGTGCACGCACGAGGGAGTTCCGCGCGCGCGGTCTCTCTTAGGTTCGTCTCCTCGACCCTCTGCCGGGGGGAACTCTCGTCGGTCACCAGGGCACAGAGAGGTGCGAAGGCCTCGCTCGCGACACTTCCGGCCGAGAAAGGGTCACACACTCGGTGCGACCGTAGATCTACCGTGCGAGATCTTGTCATCAGAGGTAAACGGCGGGAGACAAAGTATCATGGGATGTCTGAAGAGCGTCGAAAAGACGGATGCGGGTGGTGGTGATGGAAATCGGCTGGTGGACGCGGGAAAGTTAGACGATAAAACAGTGAGAAATCGCAGAGAAGATAAAAATGCAAGAAGGATATAGTCGGAAGCTGTGAAAGAAACGTATAGGAAATGCGACACGGATCGGGTGGTATTTATATGCGGATAGAAAAACTTTTGTTTTCTTTAGAAAGAGAGAGAGAGAGAGAGAGAGAGAGAGAGAGAGAGAGAGAGAGAGAGAGAGAACTGGGTCTGATATAGAACCTCTGTATTCATTTAAATGTTAAATTTATGCATAAAATTCAGAACTATGTACACACATATCGATATTCGTTCAGTGTTGTAACAGTAAATTGTCTTATTTATTACCGTCAATGAATAGTTACAATATAATTCCGATATTCTCAAGAGAGACAGAGTTACAAGCCTAGGGCACATGCTTTGGCGTCAATGAAGAACATACGTCGAGCGTCAAGAAAAAAAAAGCAGTTCGTAGCGAGTAGGCGCTACAATCCAATAAATAATTGGTTTATTAGATTAAGCAAAAATAACAAATATATATAGTATTTATTTACGTACATAATAAACAAGACAAAGGACGATCTAATGATGAATAAACAAAATGTTACGCATGACTGCGTCAGGCGACTCTCAATTACTGATATGATCATAGATTTCTACATACTATATTACACCGCTAACGCGTGCACTCGTTTGCACACCGCTTGCACACATATTTTCCGATGAAGTTGGGAACTCAGCAAATCGCCACGATTGCGAGCCACGAGCTTGTACGATAATCAGTTATAACGAGACATTCAACGTTGTAACTACAACGGAGGGAAACATAATTATCATTAATATACTCTATCTAATCTATCAAATAGCAATATAATAAAGGATCAATATTTATATCGCGTACTGTCACTTCGGCTATTGTCATAACCAATTGCCACACAAGCCCGTGAGCAATAACTCGTAATCGTGTCCATTTGATGTACTTCTAACTTCATTGAAAAAAAAACACGTAAAATATAAAAAATGTAAAAACGCAAACCGTTGTGCAAACGAGCGTACAGAATTCATGAAATAAAATGTGATGCAAAAGAAGGTATGGTGATGATGTATGTCGGGTAAACAAAAATATCAGGATGATAGAATTTTGTCACGTTGCTGCGTGTGTGGCCATACTCATAAAGTAATAACGTAACATTGGTCGTAAAATTGCAAAAATATGTTTACCAGTTGTTGTGTAACTGACTGCAGAGACATATTCTACAAGTATATAATACTCCCGCAAGCGATTCCCCTGTATACGCAGCATCCGCCTACTAGACAAATGTTACCTGGCTTCACGTTTCAGATCGTCGTTAGCAGTCTAATGCAATATATAGAAATCTGCATATGCGACTCATATTCCCATCAAAAATAACCAACTCGCTGCTCAATCTAACATCGATAGAACACCGGGTCGCAAAGTGCGAAACGAAAAATACAACATATGAGAAGTTCGTCAACGAAAACGAGATATTATAAGAAATACGTAGGTCGTACGAGAAACGAAATAATAACAACTCGCACGCTAGTGGACAAAGAGATCACAGATATCAGTTAACTGACCAAAAGGGCGACCTAAAATAGAGCTCTGCAAATTAAGACAACAGTCCGGCCAGATACGTTATCAAATATAACCTAGCCTGATTTATATCCGTTTTAGTAAAGCCACACTCAAAGAAAGAATTAGCCATAGGAGCTAAAATGTAGCAGCTGAAATAGAGATAGCAGCTAATGAATTTAGAGATTTTCCTAAAAAGTAAAGAGAATCCTTAGAGATTCAAAAACACCCCAACAATTTCAACAGAAATAGTAGACTAAATATCAGTCGAATTTAACAATCCATCTGTTCAGCATCATAAATTTCCTAGAGAGCGCAACACCTCAAAAGGCGCTACACTCACTCTTATTTAAATCTAGCCTCTTAACGGTTCAAGTAGGCTCGTAAGAAGCTCGCTAAGAAAAAGCCTTGTGTAGGAGCGACAATCTAGGATCGCACCTCATCCTGAAGAAATAAGTTGAAATGTTAACGAAACGTCAGAAATAAACCTATAAAGAATGCGATATTAGCTCGGACACAAAATCAAATATATTATTCACTGTATAGCCTTAAGGTCCCCGTATATTTACCACAACCATCTTGTTTTATAACATCAGCGGAAAAATCCATGCTCAAAATTCTTATGATATACGTTCAAATAAAACGACATATCCACAAAATGATATTTGTGATAAATTCAGCACAATTGTAAAATGCTCCGAACACTTTCCTTTTGCTCGAGCAGTCATTAAATAACTATAAAATTAACGTGACAAAATCATGAGAAAAAATAAATTAAAAGAGAAAATTGTATGTCGTGTTATTTTGACGGTTACTTATTGATCGTTAGAACAAAAGGAAAGTGTTCGGAGTATTTTACAAGTGTTGTGAATTTATCACCATAAATGTTATTTTGTGGCCTTTCTTGAACGTATAATGCAAAAATTCTCGGTATGCGTTTTCTCGCTTATGATGTCGTCAAACAAGACAACGAGGAACCAGGAGCCTTAATTTGAACAGCTAATAAATTTAGTTGCGGTAGCAACGATATTAGCTGTTCTTATTTTAACTCCGATGACTAATTCTACCTCTTAGTGCAAACTCGAATCTGACCTGGATCAATTTTCTGATAAGAAAATGGGCCATGCTCTGACTTAACCGAAACGGGTCACACTGACAAAAGGATCTGGTAGCAAGTGTTAAAATTTGATGAATTTGCCGAGCAAATATTTAATTACTGCAAGCAAATAATTCAGTTTTATACACTATATATAATATTGCCCGTATATCGTATATTTACTATACGGAACTAAGTTATTTGCTTGCAGCAATCGAATATTTGAGTACTTATCAGCAAATCCTTCCTTCAGTGCGGACTAGATCATATTTAATAACACTGAATCGGACCTGATCGATTTGCAGGGCTCCGATCTAAAGGACACCCATAACATCCGTAGTAGTCGCTCGCATATCGTACCAGAGAACAGAAATCGTCGATCTAACAGTCTGTCAGAGGAACGTCACCGCTACGTGGAACTCGCGCATCTACTCGTGAACAGCGGCGTGTCCAGCGCGCAGCGTTCTTCTCTCTGTCTGTCTCACGACCTCAACCCTGCTGAGTATCGAGGGCGTAGACCGGCCGATTGTGATGATTGCTCTTGATGTGCGAGTAGACGTGCGAACGATGCTTGCCAGTGTAGACGCAGTGCGGGCACTTGAAGCGCGGCGCCTTGCCGCACTCGTACTTGAGGTGCCTGTGCAGCCCGCGGTACCACTTGTAGGTCTTGCGACACGTGGGGCACTCGAAGGTGCCGCGCGTCATGGTGTTGACGCCCGAGCCGGGGTAGCAACGGCGTCGACGAGCGGCGGCGATGAGCGGCGCGCCGTAGAAGGTGCCGGTGCGAGTGTAGAGAGCTGTAAAGCACAGGTTCGTTTGTCAGTTGGCGGCGATTCACCGACTCGGCGGGTGTGAGAGAGACTGTACGGTAACACTTAAGAGCGACAATTTCAAACGGACACAAGTCTCTTTCGTGCTCGCTGCATTACCCGCTTACGTCAAGGCGAGGCCCTTCAACGAGCGCGTCGGCGCCATTTCTGAAAAACAACGAGGTCGCACGGACGAGGCAGTGAGCACACGGAAGAGCGTGTGTTAGTGCGGAGACTCCACGAGCGTGTCGCGATCAGTGACGGGGGGCGGAATGCAAAAACGTCGAACGCGCAAGATATTGGGATACCGATCCGCTGCTCGCCTGGAACTTCCCGAGGAAGTCCGACGAAGTCTGCGGCGGACGGGAACTGTTCGTTTATTTTCTCATTCCTGCGGGGTCGCGTGAGAAGTGACGGAAAAGTTCGCACACAGTTGGTGTTTCAACGGAATTTGTTTCAGGTCTTATTGGTACAAGTGTAAGGTACCATGATGGTTGCAAGAAATTCAGTGTTGCCACCACTGGCAACCCGTTGTACTTTGCGTTCGAGGACAGGCTGAAGGGGAGAAGGAGAGAGGCGTAAAAATCGATGCCGGTGTGTGCCATCATCGAGAATCGAAGATCGATCCGACGGGGACGTCCGACCTACCGCTTTGCGCGCCAGGATCGAAATCCTAAGAATGTCACTGCCGACGTCAACGCTCTGGTCGCGATTAGAGATACTCTCGAGGCGCGCTGATCCGCCGTTGATTCGCGCTTCTTCGGCTTCTTACGGTTAGCGTGCCATCGAGGTCGCCGATGAATCGGTCGGACAACGCATCCGTGGTACCTGAAATCGAGACGTCCGTCACAGTTAGAAGAGGAAAGCGGGCACGATGCCCTAAAGTTGACCCAGCTAACTTTTCAAATCTCCTGTCGATCTCCTTCCTCTTCGTGGCTCCCGCGAGGAAGAAGCGCGTCTTCTAGGTCAGACGGAATCGGGGTGAAAGGCACTCTCCACATTCGCTTCGAGGAACTTTTTATTGAGTCTTTCGTCGCGCAGTGCGGCGTCTCGCTTCTCCATGGAGTACAGAATCCTCGCTCTCTGTATTTCCCGAATACTAAGAATGGATGGGAAGGATGTGGGAGGCGAACAGGAAGCGATCGAACACGGCTCTCTCGTTGCTCGAGCACGTCGATCTGCGGGACGGCCTCTCGGAGGTATCATTCAATAGAGTCGTCTGAAGCAGAGCGTCTGGCCCGGATGGTACTTTCGGATGTGCGCGTAAATATTCTGCGTGAACTTGGACGGCTTGTCGCAGTATGGACACTGGTACTTGGGCGCCATGCCGCATTCGTGGCGCAGATGTCGCGTCATGTTCTTCTTGAGGGTAAAGCCGCGGTTGCAGCGCGGGCAGTAATGACTCTTGTTGACGGAGTAAACTTTCCGACGCTTCCTGGCGTTCTGGCGAGTACCTGAAAAATTCAAAGGGCCGATTAGTGCCGGCGACACCGCGCGACACTCGCTCTCTTCCCCCCCCCCCTCCCCCTCTCGCTCTCTCTCTCGCTCAAGATGCGTGGACGGATCCGTATCGTTGGACACGACGACGCAAGATCGACAGGACAAGATCCATGTACGACAAACGCTCCGACTAGTTGAGTGCTCAAATGAACGTACTCAGATCTCTCTCACGGAATGAACGTACATGTCAAACAGCCTGGAGCGAGAACGATCGATGCCGGTGCGCGCGAGCCGGCTGAGACGGATCCGTATGTGAGAGGTACGCGAGATCTCGCCCACCCGCCGCTGGGCAGCGCGGATCGTTCTCGATCCTGAGACATCGTCACACTCGCAGCAAGCGCACAAACCATAGTAACAGCAATCGATCGAAAACCAACATAGCTGAAGCCATTCAGTTTGTTTCACCGGAATATTCGAAGCTCGAGTCTCAGTGGTGCGGTTGCAATATAGTACACACGAAACGTGATATGTTGCGTGAGAAACTCGCAAGACGCGGTCGATTCACCTCTTTCGGTTTCCCACCCGCGTAGAAAATTTCTCGGGATCTAACTGGGATCCCAGCCCGATTTTCCAAAAGAATTCTAGACTCCAGTTGAGGAATCCGGGTTCTGGTGAGAAGTGTAATATTTCAAACACACGATTCCAAGTGGGAAACATAAACAGATCCCATTTAGATACCCCCAATGTTTCCCAAGATATTTTTTCCACTTTCCGTTTTACACTATGATTGAACAAGATGTACGAAACATTTTAAGTATTTACACTTTACAGGTACACACGCGCGTTATGTCTGTTATTGAACATAAGCTACGTTTTAATATTCACAGTCACAGTACTGAAAATCTGTAGTATACGTGACATGAACTAGATAGATTTTCAACACTATCAGTGGATATTGAAATACAACCATAGTAATATTAAAAATATAAACCCATTTATTAACCACCTAATCTCATATTCGGTTTATCATTCAATTCAAACGATGACAATAGCATACGATGCGAAGCAAGTCGCAGCACAGCCAATCAGCATCGCGGAAAAAAGGTTTCATCCCATGTTTGGAATAAAAATAGGCGCATTCAGTGCTACAACCACTCGTTAAATTCTTAAAGGGAGCTTTCGCATTTAGCATATTTAAAAAATGTTTTAAATATACATTAATTATAAATGCAAGAGCTCACTGAGTGCTCAGGATAGTACTGAATACACCCAATAGGATTCCCCAACTGATATCGTAGAGATAACATATTTTGGGGTAACTTTGAGTATTTCAACCGGAATCTATACTGTATTGTATGGAAAAATCTGAGAAAATTTCTATGCGGCCAGTTATCCACGTTCCCTATTTAACGCTTCGATCCCATCGTTATGTTTTCCGTCCGCGCTGACACTTTGCATGCGAACTTCGTGTTATAGTCAGACAACTAAAACTCACAGTAAAAGGACGGTATTTAGCTGAGAACGCAAGGATGTCAATTGAATTGTCGCGTGCAACCACGATCCTCAGCTCTCGTCTCCGTGTGGTCTCGTAAACTTATCATCGCTATGACATGTGTCCTTCCACGTGACGTAGTGGCTGATGTATGTACCTAGCGTAGTTATAAATAATGATGTAAATAAATAAAAAACAGGAAGTGCACGTAACGTGGTAAAAGAAATAAAAAAAAACACTAATAACGAAGATGCGGAAGCTCCCAAGCTTTTCAACGAGGTAAGTCGTTTCAAAAATGACCGGATGGTACCCTGAGACACGTTAAGACCGCACCATTTGTCTTCTCGACGAAGACAGACGTGCGACTATTTTCGCACGCGTCGCTTCGCTCAAACAAATGGTCCGTCCTGTCTTCGTGTCTCAATGTGTGTCCGAAAAGATTCGACTGAGAAGACTCACCCGTTAAAACGAACCTCCACGCTTCAGCAAGCAAATCCGGATCCACGATAAGTGTAGTAAGCTTTTAGCCATTTCGCTCTAAGTAATAAAATGTAACGTAATTCCTGGCAAAAGATATTTCCCGTGCCAAAGTCGCAGCTAAAAGTCGCAATAACGCTTAAATCTTAGGAATCTCAGTTAGAAATTGCGACGTCTCTGGTAGTGCCGGAAACGCTTTTTGCTAAGAATCATGTTACAATTTAGTGCTTGAAGCAAAAAGCTAAAAGCTCATGATACGCTTATTGTGGATTCGGACTAATCGAGACGCAGAAATAGCACGAGTTCGTCACACTTTTCTTCATTGAACAGATTATCTTCGCGGTTGGGATATTCTCGTCTGTTTGTCGGATGACACTCGCATCTAGAGATGACAGTTTTGTAGTCGTCGGAACCTTACAGACAATCGATACTGCCGCTTAGAAGGCCATACACTGACACGTAACCAACAAAGTATAAAGCCAGAACTCAAAATGCACAAAATTAAAGACCTGTGAAACAAAAAGCACATTAATAGAGTCGGTGAATTTCCCATCGTGGAAGAATAACATGTACCAACTATTAAAAATTAAATGTTAATAATAGTAAAAATAATTGCACCGGATTTTTCGATAAGCGGAAAGCTGCAGATGTCTCACGAATAATCAATCCCATTTTATCGCACTTCTCTAAAGAGATATTGACTGGACGATATCTATCGATAAATATGTGTATCAAAAAGACAATTTTAGACCGCAATGATTCTCCCTTATAGATCTTCGAATGATATTTACATATTTAAATAATCAAAGAATAATCCAATTATAATTATAAATGCCGTCTGAGATCGGAAAAAATCCTGAAATCAAGATACATCGAAAGAAATTAAAGAATCAAAGAAATCCACGTTGCCGTGTGAACGTTGAATAAAATAAAGACAATAAAGATTCTTACTAATCGGCAATGTATTCAAGGATCGGAGACACAGAATTTGGAATGTTTAACGGGGGAAGGATCTTTGCGTGAAACACTGTGTTCAAATTGCGAGACAGATATTCTAGATTTATTCTCTACAGACAAGTATACTTTCTTTCTTTCAGTTGTATAGCGCGACACGTCATCTCGCTCAAAACATTTTGTGCACACCGACTGGCAGTTTCGGATGCCATCGTCTAATATGTCTGTAAACGTTCGAGGACGAATTGTCCTTTTTGTGACAGTAGGGACACGCGTATCGCAGTGTCTGGCCGCACTTGTGCCTAACCAGGTCCCACATCCTTCGGAAGCCCGCGTCGCATTTCGGGCAGATATAGCAGGTCACCATTTGCATGCTGCTCCACTGCGACAGTTGTATATCTGAAAGCAAGCGGGACGTTAATACCAAAAGACGAGCCTTCCCGGTGCGATCCGTGACGCATAAAAGTATGCTTGGGGCATTCCGGAGACCGAACGACATCGCAACGCAGCTAAGCGATAGGATCCGTTGGTAGTTTGTACTTTACTCGAGATCCTGCATTCCGAAATTTACCTCATTGTTCGTTTCATTGTTCAGCTTGCGCGCCAATTTTTTTCTTTTTTCTCACCAAATTTCGAAAGGATCACTCCTTTCCTCTCGTCGATTTCTATATTCACGAATATCGACGTGAAGATTGAAAACCAACATCGCTCAGTATACGCTCCGATACGTCTTTGGTCCTATTTTACTCTACAAAAATAACAAAAAAGTTCTTCGACAATAATGAAACTGAATACATCGAATATATGTTAACTATGGATGCAACATCAGCGTGTGAAAATGCACTTTGAGGAATAGTGAAGTGCAGACGTTTCTATTTTTCCTCTTACGTTGCTCCAAAGTGACGCTAATTCGAGAGAGCAAAATTCCAGTCACTTCTTACAGCCACTTCGCTAAAAACTAGTTTTTTACCGAGGACGAAATTACGGACGCAGAAATTCCTTGTACAACAGTGTCGGATACAAATAACAGCTGCTCCTTCTTTTTCACTTTGCAATACAAAATTTTTGTGTATTTCATTTGAATTTCACACGAACCAGGGAAAAATATCGAACTGCTGTTTATAGTTCAGACATGACAATGATGTTGACACATGTCAATCGCAAACATAATGTTTCTCTTGAGCCTACGCGACTTGTCAGTTGAGAAATTTTGCAAGAAAAATGAAAAAAATAAAGATGAAAAAGACATTGTTCGCTGCTTTGCTTCGAGATGATGTACGCGGATGCGTAAGAAAGTGTCATGCAATAAATATGGATTTTATTCGCCATATATGTACAAACAGTTCTCATTATAATGCGCTCGTAAAGCTACGAATCCACAAAAGTTTGCGTTGAGCTCTTCATAATATGGCGCGAGAGCTAATTGCATTTCGCAACGAAGAGATCCTTTCCGGTTTCGCGAAAACTTTTTCGACACGACGGTTAAAACCACTTTGACTGTACAACAAGCCCGTGGGTTACTACGTGGGCATTTTCTGCAGATTTACACAAAAGTGCACATAAAAGTTGATCCCACGGCTATGCAAGAATGACCGTACACGGTAGCACAGTAGCACGTAATCGGCTAATTAGCGAAGGTGGCGGTGTTTTTTTTTTTTTCGGACGAGATTGTCGCAATCAATTCTCACGTTGATCTCTTCACTGTTTTATTGAGGTAAACGATACACTCGAGCATCGTTAACGGATGAGATTGTCGACTGTACATAGATTCGCAAATGGCACAAACTGTAATACGATTGAACACCATGTTTCCACAAGGGCGAAGCACTTATTCCTTTTGCTTTACAAAACGAACGAAAGTATATTCTTCGGCGCGTCATCATGTGCGTTTTTTAAAAGAGAACCAGCATCACGTTGAAATAGATTTCAGCCCTTTTGAAAATGTGTTCAGATCGATTTTCCTAAAAAAGTCGCCACTTTATCTTGGATGTATACATGATAGGAACTTACTTAGTCGAAGAAACGATCGAAATGTTTTTCTTTTCTTACACAAATTCATATAATGCACATTGATCTTTCTTGAGGACTTTGATTCGTATTTACGAACATTCCGGAGAGTCGAACGTTGTCAAGTTTCTCTTGCACATTCCTTGCTATTAGAAACGGATACATTCTGAAAAAGAAACTTTAGCGTATGGTTACAATTTCAATTTTTTGAATTGAGTTTAGTGTAAACTTTAGTGTATGGTTACAATTTCAATTTTTTAAATTGAGTTAAGAGTTGGAATTTAGACGATCGGATTTAATCTCTCGGAACAACGAAATCAAATTCATGACGAAAGGAGCAACTGCAAGTGCATGGAACAAAAAATAAATAACTTTGACCTAGATTCGTTTTCACTCTTACTTTACATACAATATACTTTCCTTATTAAATTTATTTCAATACCATCGATCATTCGTCTATTTAATTAGAATCCTTACACTAACGAACTAACGTTCCTCAATTCAGGCCTTACAAGACTGATTAATCACAAATGCCCAAATAATTTCTGTTCGCACTAATAGAGAGAAAATAGGATGGATGATTAAATCAACAAAGATATTTAAAAAATTATATCTTAAAACGATATAATAGTCACACAGTCAATAGACAAGAGACGAAATAAAATAGAGGAAAATTACGAGGAAAGAGATTGTCTTTCTCTCCTCCTTTTTTCTTCTATTTAAGGCTCCCGTTTCCTCACAGCAGCCGCATTGAATTCAAACGTCAGAAATTAGAAATCATATTTCACTTTGCGTTGCACGTCAAAGCGAATTAATTTTCTTCACCAATCGATCGAGATTTACAACTATCTACTATGCACAGTCCAAACCCATATTCTTCTGCAGTTTCGAAATATTTCGCCAGTTAATTCCACCAGCCAAACTTGCGAAAACATTAATTTACTTCGGCGTACAACGTACAAACAAAGATGCCTACGACTTCTGACGTCAGAATTCAGCATGTAACTAGTAGGTATTAACTACAATTAAGGATATAAATCCTTGAAGTCACTTCAGAACAATTCTTCGCGAGTCCATTGCCGTTTGCAATTCAGTCCAAAGTGAAAACGGCCGTTCGACGACGACGACGACAACGACGACGAATGACGGAATTAAGAGGTAGAGGAGACGGCTGGCCCTAATTTCTGTGCACGATCACCGGCATCCCGTCGTGTCGCATCCTAATGTGCTTGTAAATGTTCGACGAGCACTTGTCCCTCTTGTTGCAGTAAGGGCACTTGAACCTCGGCTCCTTCCCGCAATCGTACTTCATGTGAGTCTTCAGGGTCTTCTTGTAGGTGTAGCCCGCATTGCACCTGGGACAATGATACGCCATCTTGCCGGATTGCCGCCAAAAGGGCCCGTTTTCGTTCTTCACCTCGTTCCGATCGCCGCTGTAGCTCGCCCTCAGTATGTCCAATATGCCGGCGTCGTAAGGCTGCAGGAGTCGGCCTACGAACAGGAAGAACGAGGCCACGGTTAGTCGGCCGCGAACACGAAGCGAGCGCGACTTAGCGTTGGCCAGAACCGAAAGGAATATAAACGGGTAGGCACGACAAAAGAGAGACGGGCGAGCAAAGGTCGCAAAAAGCGAAAAGACCTCCCGGAGTCGCGCTACCGCGGATTCGAAGAACGCGAAGTAGTGGTAAAGGTGGTAGAGTAGCACACGGGGGCAAAGGTGGGGGGGTGGCAGATCCGTCGGGTGTCACCGTGGTTAAAACGGTCGTTGAGTGACGAAGGACGTCCTGGAGGAGAGAAAGAGGACAATATCGCAGCTCGTTAGAGATCTTATTATTGGGAGCGCCACGCTCCCGTTCACGCTCGCGTTCACCCGGGAGACGTACAAGTACGTCGAGTCTGGAACAGCACGAGTGAGCGAACACCGGGATTCCTCGCACGATGCGGAGAGCACCTACTTCGCCTCCTTGCCTGCCGCAAACCGAGCGCCGTTCGTCCGCCGAACAACACCGAGGACGACACGGAGCGAAGGAGATCGGGCCGGAGTGAGCGGTGATCGTGTGAGTCGGCGAAGTCTCTCTCGACGAAATGCCGTTCGTCTCCTGCGCGAGAAACGCGCCCGTCGACCGTCCGGATGCTGCTCGTGGATCAATACAATCGATACACGTGGATGCTGTTGCCCTTGTGGTGCATTCTGATATGCCTGTAGGTGTTAGAGGACTTCCGGTCCTTCTTGCCACAATAGGGGCATTGGAATCTCGGCTCTTTCCCGCATTCGTGTCTAAAATGCGTCAACATGTTGCTCTTTTGGCTGAATGAGCTGCCACACCTGGGGCAGGGGTATCTTCGGTCGCGTACCTTGTGCTCGACCATGTAACCCGACACTGGAAAAGAGAAACAGATCGAGAGCGAGGTCAGTAGGGGCGTCCAAGGCTACGAGATACGTCGACGATTCCGAGATATAACCGAGATAGAATCTCGTGAGTGTGGGGAATGTATAATCTTAGGTCGAGGAAACAAAGTAGAAAATCTCTCGCAGCTAACACCTGTACGCTGTAATGTGGCCTCAGTTATATTGTATTCGGTTCGGAAAGCGATACGGTTGCGGTAGTTGTGTTAAGGGATTTCGTTCCGTTCTCCCACCTCGTTGAAACCAGGTTGAAGCTTGTCGCAATCGAGTGGGATATTAAACAATGGCGTCCTCTCTCTCCACCTGGAGGCTGATACGCATGCAGATGATTCGTGTGGTAAAAACTGACGGGAGTGTAAATGTACAAGTGAGAAATTACTGGTTTGGATTGTAAAATTAGGAAAAAACAACTATCGTAACTAAATAAAACTAAATAACTAAAAAAAACAAAACTAAGTAAATAAGTAAGATTAAATAATTAAAAAAAAAACTATGTTACTAAACAAAACTAAAACAGCCAAAGTAGAAAATATATTCAAGACGGGTGACGGTAACGGTAACAGTAATTACAGGAGGAATAATAGAAAAAAAAAGAGAGAAATTAATAGATACATTTGTTCGTTGATTCGATCTTGTTCAAAACTCAGACCCGACGCTTGAATCTGAAAAAGAGAAGTGTAATTTCCAATCGCGTGGGATTATCACCTTTGTCGAAAAAATTATCAGCGGGTGACACGTATGCGAGAGAATAATTTCGTTACCGCTCATTCGATCGATATACAAACAGTTTTTATTACACAGCTGTAAGGAGGTATAATTTACAAATCCACAGCGCAGCACTTGGTAACGCAGAATTTGTTTCAAAAAACGCACATGACTGATTATGCAATATTTATAATACTTTTGGTTTGTAACATACGATGATGGAGAATATGCTCGATGCAGCAAAAGGAAATATTAAGAATTACTTGTACATGTGGATGGTATATGTGGATGAGACCGAATTTAATACATAGATGTGATTACTCTAGTGGTTGTAAAAGAGTCGCTCATGTCGTTTATGGTATCAATACTATTTTGCGAGTTGAAAGGAGGGGGGAGGTATATCAGGTGAAGGTGTACTTAACTCCATCCTCATTCGTGTCAACAACTGAGCGGGAAGGTAACTAATTCTTTAATAGCATCTTCTTGGCATTTGGCTCTAATAGGAAAAGAAAAAATCATTCACAAACATGGGCGATGAAAATCGCCACGAATATATATATATACAATATATTCTAAAAGAGATGAACATCCTGGCAACAGAACCTTATTCCTCTTTGGAGAGTTTAAGTAATTTCCTTTACTCAACCTTTCCTTTTTTTATAAAATATGAATCTGTATACACCATAATATTTAACAACGCAAACATATTTTCAAGACAAAACAACGAACTATTCAGAATTAGAGCCGATAGAAAATTTGAATGTGTGTCAATACAATTAATAAAAAATTAATTTAGAAAGATAAAATATCGTATTATTCAATTATCTATTCGGAAAAAACAATTCCGTTGGTGTAATTAAATTTTCTACTACCGGCAGGGGGGCCAAACGAAAACTATGTTATAGGAACAGAAAGATTCCTACAGGAGACATCTATTCAATTAATTGTTTTCAGTTGTTTCAACTGAGTTTTAATGGTCTGAATATTCACACAAATGTTTTCAGTCGCGATAACAAAGATATCACTCTTGAAATTTTCATTTCTTGTCGAATTTTCATCTGGTCCCTGAACCGTTGCAGAAACTGAGTCTTTGTAATTGCTCCAATGACAGGTCAATCTGAATCGATAGTTTTAACAGCTTCATCTCGATGCGTAATAATTAAATAATTGGATAATTGAGACTCGATGAAGCCACTAGCGACTTTCCTTAATTTATAAAATAATCTTTCATGTGATTCATAAAGTAATATCTTTCGGTTCACAAAGCAATCTTGTCACTTCGCAAAATAATCTCCGACAACGGCGAATCATGCCACCGGAATGCACACCTCCCGCGAAACATCGTGCGTATATATGTACATGAAAGTCGAAAAACGTTGCGTCAACACGACGGGACGCGCGACACGTCGTCTCCGAATTGTCCGATAGGTCGTAAAAGGTCCGAGAGAACTTTTCGGGATTCTCTGATCTACGAGCCAAGTATATACTTTGTATCTTGTAAAAAATCTCTCGGAGCTGTCGATGGTGCCGTCGCTTCTCTCTCCCTCCTCTCTCTCTCCCTGTCTCTCTCGTTTATCTCTACCGCGATGCGATCGGGTTTGAAGAAGGGCATGTGCTTGTGAATCCTTCGCACGTGTTTGTACACGTTCGAGCTGTACTTGGACACGTAGTTGCAGTAGATGCACCGGAAGTGCCTCACGCGATGATCGCCGCGGGATCGATGGTGTCGCAGCATGCAGTCCTTCTGCTGGCTACCACGAGTGTAACAGGGACAGTTGAACCAGTCGTCGTCGCAAGACGTGGACCCACCTGGAAGAATCGTTTCAGGATCAGAACGATCGAGCAAGGACCCCCGGCTCCGAGCGCTCTCAGTACTCCCTCCCATCAAACAACGCTTCGGCTTCTCACACTATATTCGTGTAACTCAAACAGCCCTCTCTGACCTGGAAGATACACTCATCATCGCGATGGGATCGTTCGTTTTGTTTTCAGGAATTGTGGGACACTTAACTGGCATACTAAACGAAAACACAAAAAGCAAGTTCTACGTCCGAACGCGCGAGAACTGTCGTTCTTAGCACTTTTCAACAAGCGGAGGGAGACGCTTGCGGAAAACGAGAGAGACGGCTCAAAATCGTAGATCGACCCAAACGGATTGGCCGGAGCCAATTCGATTCCATCACGATACGTCACCGTGCGATCGTCTCTCTCCGGTGACTCGCACCACCGTTCTCCGGGAGTTCGTTTAGAACCGCTTGACCTATCTGACTGGATGGAGAAAAGAAAATGCATTCCAAAATTGGATAACGAGTTAGCCATGTGGAGGAGATGTGGAACATGAAACACGTCATGCGCTTTATAACGTAATGCTAACAACGGGAAGTACAAACAAACTCGGCGAGACATGATCATCGGCCGAAGCGTCTCTCGTCGTCGTCGTCCGCGTCGGTTAATCAATCAATCAATACAGGACATATTCAGATACATATATCGATGCGAGGGACATCGTCGTATTGATCAAGCGTCTGTGGCATACGCTTTTGGGATCCGTCTTTGCGCGTGCCCAGACAAATGATATTCCGGCCACAGCGATACACACAGCTCGTAAATCTACGTTGAATTCGCACACAATCCTCACTGCGACTGCCGCCTAGGAGCGCCACGAGAAGCAGCGTGTAGTCATTTCGGTCTTGTCGTGTTTACCTAAAAAGTTGAAGAACACTCGTCAGAGAAAAGAACTTCTCGGCGGGCGACCCGTCGGGAGAGAACCGCCGATTCCTCTCTCAATGAGAAGCGGAGAAAATCGTGCGAACGATCCTCGCGATTCACGCGAGCGATTCTTCGTCAAATCGAACAGCCCCTGTCTTGGTCGAATAAATTCGGAAGATGGGCCAATAATGCATCGGGAAGCATTTCAATTTCAGCGTGTTGTTGTCCCCCGCAAACCTGTTCGGTCGAATTGAAACAAACGGCCATTTATTTATACGGACGTGAAAAGAAGGGATCGGTCGCACGTTATTATCTGCTTCTAACGATACAAGTCAGTGTCCAATAACCGAAAATGGAGAATTGAGCGAACATAAATCGTGGGGGACGGAGGGATGTCAGAGAATCACCGGTTTCGTTTCTTTCTTTTATCGCCTGTTTCATGACAATTTTACAAGTTCAGATACACATCAGATCGCACGTGAGTTTACGAACAATCCCTTGGCATGCCACGAAAGAGTTAGAGTTTACATTCTTATTGTACAACAGGAGAACGCGGTGAATATCGATCGCGCATTCGTAGAACATCGATCTCTATGATGATCTTTTAATCACTATGATGTAATAATACGGCTTCAAGGTAACGCGCGGCAGCGCATCGCTTTCCGTTACATTGATTTCAAAAGATGCGCCGCTCATGCGACTTCCGTATATAGACTTGTTCTAAAAGACGTAAGAAAGAAAAATAAATAAGAGAAATATGTCGGTTTTTATATAATATTATGGATCCCTATATCCTCTCAACAAGCGCGTTTAACCTCAGAGAGAAAGTTAATTCCAGCTCTGAGAACGTCGTCGACACGAATGACATACGATCGAGGTACTATTCGCTGTACGGTCCAACGAATCGCGAGACTGCCGATGCAGTTGTTGTGCGTTGTTTCAAACGTGTGTCCCCGAATGTGGACAATCATATAAAAACTATTTTTCCGTTGTCAGTCTCAAGTGAATAAACTTGACATCGTAGATAACGAAGCTTGTGAACAATCACGCTCACTTTTCAGAAATCCAAGTGTGACCACGTGTCCATCACACACTACGGGCTAATCACACAAAACATACCCGTTGCGCCATTATTAAATATTCGCACACGTGCGTCTCACGCGCTTACAATACATTTCCAAAGTCAGGCCATCATTGACTGCGCATCAATCCGCCGATTATCTAATTCCTAGTGACGATTACTTTCTATGCATTTACATCACACACACACACACACACACACTCTCTCTCTCATACGCGTTAAATGTAATATAACCAGATTCTGTAACGCAACGCGGAATTAGTTTTCCCTTAAAGGAAAGACCTTCACGGTGTGATATCACAGAAACTTGTCGGTTCGCGCGCAACTATATTTTACCGTTTGATTATTTTCCCCGATAACAGTTGGAGACAACCGGTCTCTCGAAATAAACGGCTTGCGAATCAATCGCGATTGACTAACCGAACGTGGAAATCAATTTCGCACTTTGCCAATATGTGTCGTGGAAGAAAAAAGAGGAAAAATCTGCAACGTAATCATGATTCTAGGTACCGAGAGAGATTCAACGATGTCATTGATGTTCGAATTCTTCATCGACCGTAACGCGTCTTGTTAAAAAAAGGAAAGGAAAAAAAAGCGCCAAATCAATCGAAGAACAATGTCACACAAGCACAATTGTAAGTCGTTCGTTCCGTGCAAAATTAAGTTACATCAGTCTCCGATTTCCGCGTTTTAATACAGCTTGATGAATCGCATCTCCATGTTGTGGTGCTTCGCGCGAATGTGCCTGTACACAGCCTGGGTGTACTTGCTGCGCATGTCGCAGTGCGGGCACTTGAAGCGAGGCAGATCGACGCACTCGAGCCGGTAGTGCCGATTCATGCCGCCGGACGTGTGGAAGGTGCGGGCGCACCTGGGGCAAGTGAAGCCGCGCCAGTTCAAGGACGCTTTGAGCCGGGAGTTCCGCAAGACGCTATGGTACTTCTCCAGAACGATCGGTCTGAAGTCTGCAAGCACAAGCAAAGACCAAACGGTCGTACGTTAGAGTGACGGTGCGCGACTGAGCGTGTTTTCTCTCCAACATCAGGATGATTCGAGGAGCAGTGAGGAAGAGACGGGAACGGTGGAGGTGTCGCTCCCCGATAACGCTCGAAGATCGCTACGACCTCGTCCAGAAATGACCGTCTAACACAGCTCGGAAACAGCTTTCTCGATAAACGAACCGAACTCTGATTACGCGCTCATTAATGTGCGATACTTGCCGCGGAGGAAATTCACTCGATCGTCCCAATTTGATTCTCAGCGTGAACTATACGACGTTAGTCCTCAGGCGATCGTTCGGTTACAGATCTTTGGCACGGTTGTCACACATTGGGTTGTCTATATATCGCTCTCCTCCGAATCTCGAATGAAAGTACTCGACGCACGACCGAGCGATCTTCGACTACGACGAAGCATCGAGGAGCAAGCGCCGTGCAAACAAGAACACTCGCTCCTTCCCGCGCGGAACACGTAGCGACGTATCTCGCTTATCGTTTATTCAGTTGATATCGCGGAGACTGATGTATCTTATTGATATATTAATATCGTACACGGGCGATCCACGCGCAAGCTCCGGCACGTCTGACTGGACTAATAGCGCTTGTTCAGCGTGACTTCCTGTCCCGGGTGCAACTTCCTGATATGATTGTAGATCGAGTGGGACCATTTGCTGACGTGGCCGCAATACGGGCACTGATAACGCGGCAGAGAGTCGCACTCGTATCTGTAATGACGGTACATCGAGTAGCTCTGCGAGAAGGACTTCTCGCATTTCGGACACTGATGCTTCCGGCCGTACAGGCCCATCTCCTTGCGCTGCTGCCGCAGCCGCTGCTGCTGCTGCTGCTGGTGATGATGATAGTGCAGCCGCACCAGCTCCTGCGATCGGCCCCTTTCCGTCCTCGTGTTTCCCCACGATTCTGAAACCGATGTCGTCCAGCATTAATGATACTGCGGATACGCACGCCGCAATCACACGCGAGCGTAGGGTATATGTACTTTACGCGAGATACAGAGACTACGAGGACGCTACCACCAAATCAAATTCACGCAAACCATCCTGAACGAACCTGCCCGACGACGTTTACCATGCGACAGCAGACCGTTTCTTCGATCTCTCTCTCTCTTTCTTTCTCACTTTCGGGGAGAACTCGCTCCGAACATTTTTTAATACCGAGATACGTCTTTTTAACACCGATACCAAAATGCGCCTAATGCGTTCGCTCCCTAATTGCCACGAATGCCACGTGGCAGCACACACGGATATGATAGACGGATATCGGCGTGCTTATGTGATGTTCGTCGCCGATTTCTTCCGGAGCTCGTCAACGCAAATATATCGATCGACGGAGTTTCTTTACCGAGGCGACACCAGTCAGCACGGATCTGCCGACGGAGGGAAGGACTCTGCGAGACGTGTCGGTTACTTCTGGTTACGTCTTGTCGGCGATTCCCCGGATGAAAACGCGCCGTCCGGAATTCACCTCAGGCTTACCAAGTAGCGGCGAGACACCGGAGGGGCACGTGCGAATCCCACCGTGTTCCGTGCTTCGTGCCGAAATCCGCCACCGTAATGTACTCGCTAACTCCGAACTCATCGTAGTAGGTGAAATGAAAGGTACAAGATTCTTTATTTCTTCACAGTCGATTTTTGGAAATGTACAGTGTACTATATACAGTGCAGTCTTATCGTTGAACAGAACACCCCGCGTGTTTAAGTTCGATCACCCGGGGATTCTCGAAAATTCGAAGAGGAACGAATAAATAAAGCAGAGCGAGCCGCCGTCAATTACATGCGAACTCTCCAACGTCTCGTGCGCATTGTGACAAATCACTTGGAGAACGTTCACTTAACACGCTACGAGTTCGACACGCGTACAGAGTACAGGAAGCGCAATCCTCACTATACACATCAAGAGCAGTCTAATCTCCGGCTCGTTCGAATCACATATGTACAAATACGCGCGCGGAGAGTCGCGATATATATACACACACGCACACACAAACACACACACATACGTGTGTAACTCGAAATCCGAGAAAGAAAAATTCCCTGAGGTATTGCGAACAGTCCAGTTCGGCGAGCGACACCGGCGACGTTCAACAATAGCTTTCGCTTGGCAAACTCGAGATCTTCCTCGCGTCGGTTCACGCCTGCAGATCGCAAGGAGCTCAATAGAGTTTCACCAGAGTCACCTCCTGCTTCGGATGCATCGCTCTGACGTGCTGATAAATGTTCGAGGTCTTCTTGCTGCATAGGGTGCAGTAGGGGCACTTGTATCTGGGCGCTTTTCCGCACTCGTACCTATAGTGGCCGAGCATGGTGTCGCGTCTGCCGTAGCCATTGTTGCAATTGGGGCAGTGAAACTTGCCGGTGCTCGGGTTGTACTGCGTGTCCCGCTTCTTCAGGTTCTTCTTCAGGCGCATTGTGCGAAATTCGAGGAGCCTGCCACCTACAAAAGATCATGTCACGGTCAACATCGATCGCACGACACACGTCTCCTCGAGGGCACCTCCGTTCAGCTCAGAGAACGCGTACGCGCCAGAATTCCATGCAGAGAAAGGACGTTCTCAGGAAGAGACAAGACAGAAAAAGAGAGTTAGATAAAAAAAGAGAGACTCGTGGTGAACGGGGGGATGGAGAGAGAGAGAGAGAGTGAGAGAGAGAGAGAGAGAGAGAGCAAGCCGGAAAAACAGCATGAGTCACGCGCACGTGGAGAGCGAGTCGCTTTCCTAATACAAATGCTTTTATTGAAACTCGACGATACGCGGACGTTTTACGGTACCTCTTTACATAACTAAGTACATCCTCTCGGAGGGCGATAACACCGTGTTCTCGACATAACTCGATCTATCGCAGATCTGTGTGTGTGTGTTTGCTTTTTCGTTAAAAAATATACACCTCGAATATAGAGATCGCTATAATCTATCTGTATTTAACGTATCGATTCAACATTTCCGTGAAAAGAATTCGTCTCACTAATGAGTTCTCACTAATAAGTTCACTTTGCACTTGCTGAGCGTGGTCCACAACTTCAGAGCAAAAGTTCTCTCGTTCGTTTGTCTCGGAATTACAGGTCACAAGTGGGAATGTGCGAGGTCCGGGTCAATATGGACTAACAAATTTCAAGTCAATAGCCTAGTATCGTTTCATGGAGATCGAACAGTGCTCGTAGACTGCGACGGGATCCATTTCACGTGTCTACGAATTTTTCCACAATCGTGAAATCTAGCCGAAACTTCACGGAATATTACACATTCTAGTGACGTCTCACCCTTTTACTCGCAAACATAAAAGCATCTCGGCATATATATATATGATGATATATGGTTCTAGATGTCGTTGTGTTTCGTACTCACAAGAAGACACGCTGCAGATAATATTAATAATAATAAACTCGAAGTGTGATCTCATTTCTATACATACGCAGGCTGAGATACGTTCAAAAATCGAGAACTTTAACGCTAATTTTCTATGCACTTTCTCGATTTACTGTCGTAATAAAACTAACACATCGTAAATCATCAAATATAATATTTTTAAAAAATCAATTTGTACGTAAAACTCTCCGCAAATCGCGATGAACAAAGGAACAAAACCCACGGTATAGGGTCTGACCGTAAAAATAAGAGAAAAAACCAACAAAATGGCAACCTCTAGAAGACGGAAACCGATTCTCCCAGATCCGTTCACGAACTTTCGGAAAACACAGAAACGTTCTCCTCGGTTTCTTGCGATATAACACACTATATATATATATATATATATATACATATATGTATGTATGTATGTATACATCTAAAACGCCACGACGGATAAAAGAATTCTTCAACAGTCGCAAACAGGTACGAAAGAAGCGGCATCGTCGCGATGCGCGCCAATTCAGGAACAACGGAAACTCAGAGAGAAAGGAACTTCTTGTCCCTGTAACTAGCTTCGCGCTCCCCCTGCCCCCATCTCGGTTCGTCTGGAGCGCAGACGAAGAAGATGTACGCGTAATAAGTACGCAGAGCGAAGCACTTGTTTCTTTTCTTTTTCAAATCGACGCTCGCACGGCCGCGCGAAACGTTCGTGTGACTTGTCCTAGAAGAGCGTGTTGCAGACGACCGGCTTGGAGGGATGCTTGTGCCGAATGTGGTCCTGCACATTGAACTTCTTTTTGCTAAGTTTGCCGCAGTAGGGGCACTCGAAGCGCGGCGGCTTGCCGCAGTCGTACTTGAAGTGTGCCGTGACGGCGCTCTTCGTGGTGTAGCTCTTGCGGCAGCGCGGACAAGGGTAGCGGGTCCTCGTCTTCCTCGCATTTCTGCCCTGGTAGGTCTCCTCGAGCCACGGCAGCGGTAACATTTGCAGAAACGCTGAAAAAGACACGGAAGTGCGCGGTTAGCTCACTCGCATCCTACAGCCCGGGGTCTCTTGTAGGTCTCGCGGGGATGGAATCTCGGGGTAAGCTCTCTCTCTCTCTCTCTCTCGTGCGCGCGCGTGTACACGCTACGAGTGCGTCGAAGTGGCACCTCGAAGAAATATATTGATCAGCGAAGCTCTCGGAGAGAATTCGAACGGAATCATGAATTGCCTCGTCTGCGACTACTCGAAGGACCGCTTTAATCCGCCACTGCTTGCATCGAGTCGACAGAAAAGATAAGCCGAAGACAGTTATCCTTCCAAGATTGTCGTCTTAGAATCAGCGTTTGTGTCAAGACTGTCTAAGTTAACTTTTCTTGATCGAGACCAAGGCGGACGTCGACGACGTCAAGTCGACTTCGAAACATCGTCGAGTATTAAGTAAATGAGCAGTGCGGGTGAACAGTAAAATAGATAGAATACTTCAGATTGGAACTATCTCTGAGAAAATCAGGCCAGATTTACTTCTGGATCTACACTTTCTGAAGGTCCGAGAGATTCCTCTTGGAACTCCCTCTATGTAATCTGTCTACTTGGTTGTATGCGATTTCAGGTTGCGAGCAAAGCGTATTTAATGTGTTTCGAAACTACATATTTCATATATATTTATTATAATTACAAAGGGACAAATTGTACAGCTATACAATGAGCACATCAGTCGCATCTAACGTTGGGGTGTTCATTGTTTAAAAAAAACTATTTACTCTGAACTACGTGAACGCCGTGCTCCTCGCGAAATCGAACAAGAGAACTAAACTATCGTGGAAAGGTCGATAGGTCTTCAACGAGGAAATAAGAGCCACTTCTTCTAACGATAGTGCTGACGATGTGCGTAAAGACAATGTGACTCGCTGTTATTTAGTAAGGAATGAACAAATAAAGCGGTTACAGGCATCTTCAAGCTGTGCACAGACGAACTGTAGCGCGCGTTCGACCGATGTCGGATGATGACAAACGACCAAATGAAAGTGTGTATGTTTTGCAAAGGGAAAATGTTAGTCCGAGAGGTAACTGCGGCTAACCACTTGAAAACTCACGACACAAAGTGCGAATTCGCTTCCGCAAATTATCGTCCATGTGATATCCGTTAATATCACTATGATCTAAGGACCGTCTTGTTGCTCTGGAAAAAGATCACACAATTAGTAACGTAAGTCGTAGTATTGGTATACATCGATATATTCTGAAAGTCACGTAAGAAATCAATATACATGTATCAAATGTTCCAAAAAATAGTGTGTAGATCTAAAATAAATAATTAATTTAAGTCATATCGATCGATATCTTCACAGATCTCCTATATGAGGGAAGTGTAATTTTAAAGAAAATGTTCATATTTCTTTTACACTTAAGGATAAAACCGGGAATGAGAGATGAAACGAAATAAAAAATCAGGAATGATTAGATGCAGCTATTAATAAATGCTTTTTTTCGGTTTTTATGATATTTTTATTGAAAATATGTGAGATCACTCGCAATATAGTAGCATTAGTGATAAACAAAGAACGAAAATAATCTTATTTTGTTGTACAATAATTATGTTATATAACAGTCATTTTAGAACAATTATTTTACAACGACAAATATATATAATAAAAGAAACACAGGCAGCTGTCGTTTAAAATATTAAAGAAAAAAGAAAAATATATAAGATTAAACAAAATGAAAAGAAAAATAATAAAGGTAATATGTACACGCAGAAAAAAATGAGCAATAGGAACCAAACTAGGGATAGCTACCGTTATTGCTACCGCAGTTCAATTTAGCTGCCGCAACTAAATTTATTAACTGTAAATTTATTAACTTTGAACTAAGACGCCACCGAATAAACTATATAGTTGTGCACTGCAGCAAATATATTTTATCTTTAATAACTGATGTTCTTGCTACTGCTACATTTAGTAACAACGACATTAGCTGTCCATAGTTTAACTATCAGAGTTAGATTTCAGCTCTTATAGCTAACTCTTCCTCTGCATATAAGAAATATTATGAACCAAAAAATAAAGAGATATACAATTGAGAACAAACACTGATTGGAAAATATACGGATGATATATGGATGAAAATTTAAACATCTAAATATTGAAGAAAAATTTAAATATCACGGTGTCTGAATTTAAATACGACACCGCCATACCCGAGAAAAAAAATTATATATATATATATATAATCATATTAAAAAAAAATTATATATATATATAATCATATAAAATTATATATAATTATATATAATCATATGTAATTTATATATGAATTTTGTCCCTATATGGCTACATATAATATTATGTATGTACACAAAATAAAAATACTGTTGAATGAAAAACGGAAGAAATATTTTGATTGAATTAAGTGTTCACATCGTGGGCAGCCATAAACATAAGCATTTACTTAAATTACATTCGTATAACAGTATTTTTTAGATGTAGAACATATATAAACATGTATAGATAAAATTCATATATAATCATTTTTTCCCGGGTGTGCATGTCAAACATCAAAGCGCATTATTCTGAACAGGAAAGTTTTATACTTTATTTTTGATGTATCGTTTTTGTTTTCAAAATATTAACTAAAGAAAATTGAGGCTAAATGCGCGTAAAGCAATGAGACAAGACATGTGGTGAAACATTCTGCAAGAATGTCCAAAAAGACATGTCTTACACAGAAAAAAGTGCTCGTAAAGATTCAAGTAGATAATTTCTCTGATACTCCATAGCAAATGTTTACTTGAATCAAATAAATACTACTTGAAATTACTTAAAAATTTGCTAAAGAATACTGAAATAATTATTTACTTAAATCCAACACTTTTCTGAATATGTCAATACGCGACACCGCCCATAATTTGCCAATATATTGCCTATAAGAATATTTATTTGCGAGAGAAAAAAATATTTATTTCACTTTGTGTGTGTATGTGTAATCACACACATACACGTGCGTGCATATACACACACACATACACGAAGAGAGAGAGAGAGAGAGAGAGAGAGAGAGAATGAGAGAGAGAGAGAGAGAGATAGTGAGGGAGGGGGGAGGAATAATGCGATAGAGGAAGGGGAAAGATATGTGGGAAAGCACAGCGTAATAATTTATTGTTCGTCATGATATAGCACGATTACGTGAGGTGTAAATCCGGCATGTTTGTGACGTATATGCTTATAGACATTATTAGATTGCTTGCTCTTCATGTCGCAGTAAGGACATTGATATCTCGGTGGTCTGCCACACTCGTATTTGTAATGGCGCAGCATATGATACGCGTGTTGATAACTCTTGTGACATCTCGGACAGATGTTCCTAATAAAAGAAAAAATACTTAAAAAATGTTCAATTCACATAAAAATAAAATTAAATTCTAGTAAATATACAAGTAAACACGAGTTTGAAAATATCAGTAGCTATTGTGATTACTCAAAACAATACCTTTTTGTTAATAATGTAGGTGTTACACATATAGTACATATATATAACATCGAAGGCATCCCTCGAAAAAATATTATAGGTAATCGAAATTAATTAGATTAACCAATAACTAATCTAATTAATAGCAAAATTAATTAATAATTTAAAGGTGGATATTAATATAAAAATTCTTTTATTTCATATAAATACATAAATTAATTATTATAAATTTCACGTTTCACGCAGCAAAATAAATTGGTAAAACAGACTTTTTCCAGCTCACCTCTGATTCTTGTCTTCCGTAGTTGCCAACAAATGTTTTTGCGAAGAACGTATATGTGAGATATGCCACAACAGTTGTTCCTGAGTTTGATATAGAGATGGATTCGAAGCCAGTTCCATAGACAACACGTTTGTTGTATCTGGAAGCAAAGGCAGATAGTCACGGTGAAAAGGGTACATTCGGACAACGAAATGTACCAACGTTAATCGAAATAGAGATCAGGAAAGATAAAGATCACAAAAGATAATGAAGACGCAGAGGGATGCATCGATCTCGATAATTCAGCTTTATTCGTCAGTTGAAAAGAAACGACGTCACACTCACACCCATCATGCATTTATTCCAAAAACTATTATGATTTATACGAGATTCCGTAGACAGGTTAATATATTTAACGAAATTAAACAAAAGTGCAGTTGTCGCGTCTGAAAGAAAATATATTAGCGTTTTCGGCGCGTTCGACTATTCTTGCGCATTATCGATAATGGACTTCCATTTACATCTATATAGTAAGAGAAAAAATATTAAAAAATAAAAAATGTATTCTTCGGTAGGTAATAACATATGTACTTAAATCCAAATTCAGATGTATGAAAATGTATATTTTCTCATTTGAAAAAAATGTTTTCTCAATATAAAATATATATATTGGTGTAAATAAGTATAATTATTGATTCACACCAAATCAATATTTATCTTTTATCTTTTAGATATATTTTCTATCTTTGTTTCTTTGAAATCTGAAATATCGAACGTTTTGTAATCTTATATTTATATACCGATATTCAATATTTGTACCTGGTCCATCGTGGTAGACATATTTGTATTAGTATGTTGATCGCATAAGACTCCCTCCCACGGAAACAAGGGCAGAAGACGCATCAGTGAAAGTCGATTTATTGGGAATTATTTGAAGAAAGAAGATAAAATTATAAAAGCAGCCTATTACGTTATTTGAAAATCGGCCTAGACATATGCCCGACAGACCCGAATACGAATAATTAAATTAAATTAAACAATTAAATTATTTCATCTGTTTACTCGCTTCATCGGTCCAATACTCGTGTCTCTAAGTAAAAGAACAATTTTAATTGTACTCAGCAATATACAGGACGTCCCAGTAAAATGAGAACACCTAAAGATCTTTTTTTGTTTTTATGATATGAAAAATGTTTAGAGCACAATTTAAGTGGTTTCGAAGGAGGAATATCGTGAGAGAAAATTCTTTTACGCTCATTCTTTTCGACTTCTTTTTTTAAGATCCCCATATTTAGGTGTATTCCTTATACTGGAACACCCTGTATATAATTTTCAATAGATTTGCTCGAAGAAGCGAATTTGGATCTACGATGATGCAATATGGATTGTATTATCCGCAATTTCGAGGAAATTGCGCAAGACTAAAATAAATATAGATCGAGATCAGTTTGTATCGCATGGATATAACGAACTTACGAGCAGGCGGGGTTTTTATTTTACGACCAACGAGAGAGAACGCGTGACTACACACGGGCCATCTCTGCGAATCACGTCGCGATACCGTTCAGGACATTTCATCGAAAAGATCGATAATATAAACTTTTCAAGTACTTGTGCTTGCGGATGGAGTGCGCCTTACGAGTGCGCTTGCCATGGTGATTGCAAGGACATTTGAAACGCGGCTGAATGCCGCGATCGTATCTCAAGTGACTTATGAGGCTCTTCTCCAAAGTGAAGGAGCTACCGCAGTTGTTATTCGGACAGAAGAATCTCGTCCCGTGATTCATCGTTCTGCTGTAAAATTTAACAGATCCTTTAATGCCTGGAAAAAATACACGGGGAGCTCAATCAGTGACGACATCAAGTCCTCTCGGGATAACACGCAGAGGAAGTTGATCGCTCGAGACATAAGATTCTGCATGGGAGAAGTATTCTTAAGCGATTTCGCACGAGAATGCAATATTAGGACAGGAGTTGTGTTTTATTGAGTCACGAGATGCTCGATCTCACGATCAAGATGCCATACAAAACATCGTGTTTACCTGCGCGAACGCAATTGCACCTGAGAAATCGTAAATTAATATAGATCCGGTTATTGCGCATTTACAACGACGTGACAGATCACTTTGTAAAAATTGAAACATTCTAGAGATATTCATTGGNATATATATATATATATATATACATACATATTAACGTTTTCAATTGTTACACAATAATAGAAGAATATAAGAACCAGTGTTGCGGAGAACAAAAAAATACTCTTATTTCTCACCCGCGAATGTTTTATTAAAAAAATAAATATATTCTCTATAATTGATCGAAGAGGCTAGCGAGAAGAACTAACGGAACCACCGCGCGAGGTGACGAGTCTGAAACAAAAAGAGAATCAGGAACTTTTCACTTCGCAGGGTGTTCTTCGGCTCGCCATAAGATTTCTCGTAAAGGAATAAAAGAACGCAACAATAACGACGACGAGAACGGTCGGGAGGAAAGTTCATCAAGTTCAATATCCCTTCTCTGTCTGAGAGGAAATTCAATTTAGTATAGGAAGATTTACGAGAACGACACCTCACGCAGGACACTTTCTAACGACGAGGCGAGTCCCTCAAGAGAAGGGCAGGGTGCTGCGGGACCATTCGACCAACTCGGCCGCATAATTCTGCCGGACGACGTTGTTGATGTCCTGAGCCGGCAGGCTATCCTTAGGAAAGTACCTCCTCATGTTGAACACGTCGATGGCGAAGACATCGCGATTCTCGTGCAGACGCTTCACGTGCTTGTAAGTGTCCGAGGGATACCGCGATATGTAAGTGCAGTGCGGGCACTTGTAACGCGGCTCCTTGCCGTTGCATGCGCTCACCACGTGTCGCTTCAGGTGCATCTTCCTCGAGTAACTATTGGGACAGTTCAAGCACTGATACGGTCTTACGTTCCAGGGACAGTAGGAGTACCACCCCTGATATCCTGAAACACATCGGCAGCACCGTGCTCGGTTCGTCAGTGTGAAAACGGGCAAGTCGAGGCGTTAGTCTAGCTCTATATAGTCTTAATTGCGCTCAACGCGAGCCGCATTCACACGCATTCGGGATTTCCGTGATCTGTGTGTGCGCGTTCTCGCTCACGGAGAGCTCTCTCGCGAGTGCTCGTGAGAGAAGAGACCAAATGTTACTGGAGACACACATGTACACATATACAGATACGGGACTACGAAAGGAGTTTCCATAGATCGTCGCAAACATCGGTGCGTGTGCGATATTCCTTCGTTGTGAGTCATTCGGGGCAAATGGGTGGAGGCAAAATCGGGAAGAATCGTAATGCAACAATGCGAACGCGCTTGGTAAAATGTTCATGTGTGCAATAATAATTTATAAATAGACATATGTACATCACACTGGACACGTGCAGTCTTATCATGTACTGAACAATACTGAGGGGATGAGGTAAGTTTCGCCGGAACCGCTCGACGTGCGTCGTCTCGCTCAGTTCAGTCCTGATTAATTTAAATCGTACGACGGAAGGTATACGAAACGCGAAAGAGCCACGCGCACGTCAATATACGTTTTGTTCAACATATATTTATCATGTAAGTTACGTAACTGTTAAACGGACACTCCGGATATCACGCAGTTGTGAAATCACGCGTTATTCGAAATTCCAATTCGGCCAGGCAATGAACTTTTCTTCGAGTCGTTCACTCTCCGACTGTCCGCAGAAACGATAATCAGACCGATTACATTATTTTATCAGCCATTTCGAACTCATAAAAAAATATTAATAATTGTGGATTATATAATAATAAACAAATAATTGAAGCATCAATCACTCCCATGAAGCTTTTTCCTGTTTGCGTAAAGCGCAGCTGTCTCTCACACGATGAGAAACGAGAACCATAGCGAATTTTTGTGAATTAAAAAAGAAACGTATAGAGAAAGAACGTGAGTGATTGAGTCCGCGTCGTCTCTTTCTCAAAACCACTGCGTCTTCGAGTTGTTGGTGTGCTCGCCGTGAATGTCGATCGCGTAGACTCTCTGGTTTATGTGCTTCCTTCTCACGTGCGTGTAAACGTCCGAGGTCTTTTTACTGCGGTGCTCGCAATACGGGCATTGAAAACGTGGCTCCTGTCCGCACTCGTACTTGAGGTGCCTCGTCAGACTGGGCTTTTGACCAAACGAGCTGGGACAGTTCGGACATGGAAATCTCTTGCTCCCAATAGAAAAGTGCAGATCGGGACCTAGAAAGAAAAAAACGCATAAACGAATAAAACGACACAAAAGAATGAAACGACGTGGACGAAATAAACCATGCTGCGGTGTACTCGCAGTCAAATTAGAGCGCCTTTGTTCCGGTTATATCTTCCTCATGGCTCGACCGATTTCTTAGACGAACGCGGCCGCCAACGATGATGACCAAAGCCGTGTTCAGCGAATACAACGGGAAATTTTTCGTCAACTTTTGGAAGACGGAGGTAGATCTAAAAATACACACACTGAAACAAAAATTGCTACGTTCGTGTAAATATTTGCTAAGGCGCATTGGAGTAGTTTATTTTATTTGGATTAAGTAAATATTACTTTAACCTCTTCAAGGATATTGACACATATGTGTACGTTTAGTTTTATTTAAAAATTACTGTTATTATTAAATGTTGAATAAAATAAATTTAAAAAATTTTCGTTGTTATAAATCAAAAATTTTAAATTCATCCCTGAAGAGGTTAAATGCAACACTTTTTCTTCTAATGTGCTATATTCAAATAATATTTATCTAATTCAAGTAAAATAAACTATTCCAATACTCCTTAGTTAATATTATCTTTTACTTGAACGTAGCAATTTTTTTCAGTGCACCAATCGCAAGTAATTTTTATTCAACGGTCGCACAACCGTTGTATTAGCTGAACGCAACCCAAAACTCCTCTCTTCAAATCGAAAACCTCGCAAATGGCGTAAGTTCTCTTCAACAGCAAGAAGCGAGAGAGAGAGAGAGAGAGAAAGAGAGAGAGAGAGAGAGAGAGAGAGAGAGAGAGAGAGAGAGGGAGAGAGAGAGAGAAAGAGAAAGAGAGAGAGAGACTGCGAAGGAAATCGCTTCAACAAAGAGTTTTACGTTGCGATCGCATGAAGCGAGTACTTCAAGTCGAAACTTTCGAGGACACCCGACACCATTCTTCGGGAGCTTTCGACAATCGATAAGAAGCGTTAAAGAAGCATCCGATGATTCGACAGACTTTCGACAATTGTGCGTGAATTTCTGCTCAGCTGCTGTTAACAGATTACTTCTCACCCAGACATTATTAATGTTGACGAAAAAGCGTGCTTTTATACATGAAACATACGGAGCCGCTGGATTTCCTCTCGTTAACTCAGGATAAATATAGATTATCGAAATATTCGATCACACACAATGAAAGCAAGCTTGATTTCTCTCGTTAAGTGCCACAAGTTAACACACAAGAGCACATCGATCTCGAAAAGAAAGAGAGAAACATCCCCCTCACGCTTCGTAAATGTCGATTTGGATGTTGTTAGTATCCGCGCAGCTGACGCAGCTATACGCAGCTATATGAGAACCTGAAGCCCAGAGAAAAACGCGATGCGACGCATGCGAGATGTCGCGCGGTCGTTATGTTTCGGCTGTGTGCGGGTCGTCAGTTCGCATTACATCGCTTTATTAGGCATCAAGTCTTACAATGGAGAGTCGTCGAAGGATCGTTTAGAGTTCCAACATTCAATTGGCATAATACAATATTAACGACGAAAATCACACAATCGTCAAGTAAATCCAAATCTTTCTTCAAATCTCATCGTGATTGCCTGATTTGAAAATTACAATTCTAACTGGCGATAAAATCTTTAAGGAAGTGGTATTATTGTAAATTATGCACTTAACACCGTTGTATGTAGCAAAAAAATGGTCAATAATTCTGAAGTTTGTACATAATGTCTGCATATCAGTCTTTAATACCATATTAGTTTTTCGTTTCTTATCTTTCGTTTTTCATCTTTGGTCTTTCGTCACAATCTCATTTTTAATTTAAAAGATTAGAAATAGGAATTAAAAATAATACGCTAATCTCAAAGAATTCATATAAAAATTGTCAACTTTCATTGCAAACATCTCAGCATTTAAACGGTCAATCCTTTCCTAATCGCACAAGTAGTTACATAATATTTCAATACATACGTAGTGCAAGTTTCATCAAATTCTTATCAAACTCATTTCGCCTTGCAACTTCCTTAAATATTCAATTATCTAGTTTGAACTCGCAGTTATGATACCTGCAGTATAGGCTTGAATAGCAAATATCTATAGCTATAGAATAGCTATATCGATTATAATTTACGGCATTGGACAGCATAGAACTCGAAAATCATGTGCTAAAAACCCTGCGTTTTCACCATTCAACTTCATCGTTCCCAAAGTCAATCTTCACACCGTCTCTTCAGGAATGACACATTTGCCCGCGTTCCCGAATCGAATAGTGAAATGATTCGATTCTCTACGCGCGACATATTCCGCACTACATATATAAATCACTTATTGAACCACTCGGTATCGTTTTTATTATTGGATTCGGCGGGAAGCGACCCGCCAGAGAAAGTCTCGCACTCATTGAAAAATGTCAACGACATAAACATCGTAGCCTTGATGTTTGATCCTGATGTGTTTTCGTACATCGGTCTTGACCTTGCATAAGTAGTGACAGTACGGACACTTGAACCTGGGCTGCTGACCGCACTGGTAGCGCAGGTGGCTCATCAGATTCCTCTTCCACGCGAAGACACTCAAGCAATTTGGATTCGGACACGGGAACTTATTGGGCCATATGAGTCGTTTCACTCTCAAGGGGTAGCTACCGGGGTAGCTTCTCCAGTATCCGGATCCTTTGTTACCTGAAAAAGTAATGACTCGTTCGCGATAAAACGTTCGAAGATGCTCGACAATCATGCGAAGACAGGATGCGTGCCATTTTTCTTTATTTTTTTTTTTTTTGAGGCAGCTCTGGACGAGAAAACGCTGTTGTCGTCAAAGTTGCAGACTTCAAAAAGTTATAATCTCAACCACTGATCGACTTGAACGTGGTTCATCTTCCAACTCAAAATCTTTCTTACACTTTCACATTTGATATCTTCGACTATGATTCTCTGAATGCACAAACAGAACAACGAGAACACATTCCATTATTACCGCGATACGCAATTCTCTCATCAGATTGAATCTAAGAACAAATAACATATGTGTGTGCGTATATGTGTATTATTTCATATATTTATTCGCTTAATCGTTTCAATACTCGTATCCTTAAATACAATTAAGATTGTGTTAATCAGTACATGTACAGTTTCTAAGAGATCTGCTCAGACAAGCGAACTTGGGCCTGCGATCATGTAAACGATAATATCACTCATAATTCGGAGGAAAAAAATTATATACGACTGGTAACGGAAATAAATTGCATAGAAAAATGTCTATTTATTTTCAATAAATAACAAAATTAAATCAAAATTATTTAAATAAAAAATAAACACGTTGACCTCCGTTGAACGGATTTTACTGATTATACAAAAGTCTAACCAATAATAAATACTAAAAGTACAGTACGTAAATACAATTTAAAATACATATATCCTTTATCCTGTTTCAATAGCTCTTTATTAACTATACCAACAATTTTATATAGATACAATTAATTGTACTTTATACGTAACTTAATAAAAGACACGATAGTGTCGGTTATCCGTGATTACTACGGCATTCAACGTAATATTATAATACTTTATTAATCCAAATATAAACACAGGTATTCACAAATAAACAAATAAATATATGAACAAACAACCTAAATATAAAAGTGCAGTTTGATGTAATGAATATCGAAACACAGAACTATACGCACAAAGCAACATTACATTTTTTTTACGTAAATATTTCACGATCGTCGGCCACAATTAACGCCACAGACTTCTACATATCATAGCGCTAACCCTTATATACCGTATCAAAAAATGAGTTCCGAAAAATATGTACTGCATGCGTTAAGTAAATAGTGTAGAAGAGACGTGATGATGGATAAATGTAATATGGCCGATGTTTACAACTAATCAAACGTGAATGCTGCACTATTTATACGACTCATATGCATGATTCTGTACATATTTTTCGAAGCGATGTATTTCATAGAAGTTGGCAGTCTAGTAATATATAGAAGAATGTGGTTGGCGCTCGAGCTGAAAGGGTTAACAGCAAGAGAATTTAACTGTTTCGTTTGACAAGCTAGAGAGAACGCTAGAAGACGACGCGAAACGTTGTCTCGCGGTGTCGTTGATTACGTAATTTCTGACAACGTTGTCGTCAAATTTGCTCAAATGTGCATGCGGTAGACATGCTTTTTATATCGCCCTTGTACTTGCTGCGGTAACCGCAATAAAGATACTCGAAACGCGGCTGCATGCCGCACTCATATTTCAAATGAATTAGGAGATTCTTCATCCAAATGAAAGTGCTACCGCAATTGTTATTCGGACAAATGAATCTCATCCCATCGCTGGTTTGCGTCCTTCTGCTGTAAATTTCAACAGATCCCATAACGCCTGAAAACAAAAAGATATACGGAGAGCTCAATCAGTGTTGACACGAAGGCATGTCGTCCTTTCGAGATAACATCGGGACAACATTGTTGGTAGAAATCAACAACTTGAGTGTGCACTTTGACAGCTTCCTTCGAGAAATGAAACGCGTGCAGAGAACACCGAAAAAGAGAGACACGACAGCATATATACGGAGAAAAAAAGTTTGATTGAACTAACGTGATAATGAACGAACCAAACGCGTTTCAATTGAAAAAAAAAACAGAATATTTCTGATTATAAGAATTTGATTTATGAGAACAAGAAGTGAATTTTTTCAACTAAAACGTTTTCGGTTCGTTCATTATCACGTTAGTTCAACCAAACTTTTTTCTCCGTGTATGTAAAACGCTACGATACCTGTGAGGGGAAGAGCATACCAATAGCAAGGTTCTCACTTCAATCCGTTTTTCAAATACACGTTTGAGCGTTTAATGTACATCCGCTTAGAAACGCCTGTTGAAGACGTATCAATGTAACTAAACGTTTAATCGTATAAACGGATACTGCCTTTCTTTTCTATTAAATTTGCAAAATGCTTTCAAGTTATATGTAGATGATTTCTCTACTTTGTTGAAACTTCCGTAGTAAACTAACATTTCCTTTCTTTCGAATATTCTGTAGTCGGATGAACGAATAAATGGATTCAAAGTTAATAAATGGATACACGTTTTCAAAATCGCGTATACTCGCGATTACTTTATTATACGTATCTGTGAACGTATATGCTAAACGTACGTTTAAACGTTTTCTTGTTTAAACGTGTAACCTTAGACTCTATTCAATATATAACTAGTGTCTATAAGATTCTACATGAGTAAGATATATTTAAGCGATTTTGACCGAGAATGCAATATTAGGACAGGAGTTGTGTTTTGTTGAGTCACCATATGCTCGATCTCGCGGTCGAGACGTCATATAAAACATTATGTTTATCTGCGCAAACGCAATTGAAGAATGGTAAATTACTATAGAACCGTCGGTTGTTACGCATCTGTAACAATGCGGTGAAGATTATTTCATAGAAATTGAGATATCCCAAAAATATATTCATCGATAAATGCATATAGATATTATATATGTATATAACATGTGTAATTATTACATAACAGTAGAAGAATATAAGAATGAGTGTCACGGAAGACAAAGACATTTTTATTTTTCTCATCCCAAATGTCTTATTATTCGCAAATTAAATATGTTACATAATTTATTTTTTCATCCTTTCGTATAATTTGTAGAAAAAGAAAAATTATTCTATACAATTCATTCATTGTAAAAATATTTATAGGAAAAAATAAAGCCTATTTAAATAAACACATTTTCTAATAAATAAAATATAAATTCAGATTTTCTTAAGTATTAAGAAATCAAGATGCAACTAAACTTGACCAATTCAGTGAGATATGGAACGGTGATGACTTTACCTGAATCGTTCAACGAAAAAATCAATAATGTCGCATAACAATCAAATATGTCCTTCTTCATTGCCAACTCTCATAAAGAAAAACACAGAGAATTTTAACAACGCGCAACCTGTACGAGAAGTACAGTCCAATTAGTTTTGAGGTTCATTCGCCTCCGTTCCATTTGCAAACCAAGAAGTGTTGAAGATGTCCAAAACGAAGACCGCCGAATCCTTGTGCCGCCTGATTATATGCTTGTTCACGTCGGCCTTGACCTTGCAGCAATATTCGCAGTAGGGACACTTGAAGCGTGGCTGAAGACCGCACTCATATCTGAGATGCCTCGTCAAGTTCCCCTTCCAATTGAAGGACTTGGTGCAGTTGGGATTGGGGCAGCAGTAAATTCCGCGTTGACGTCTGCGAACTTTTTGATTCATGTCCGATTGAAGTGGTATTCTCACGAGGAAGTCTGAAAGGAACAAGAGTATCTCTGTGAGCGAAATAGTTTGCAATTCGTTAGACGAAAGAGATCATACGAGGCATTCTCATCTCAGAATATCGTCTGAACATACCGAGATGAGAAAGAAGAATAATTGATGTGACACGTGAGTCTCCGTGAGTGACAAAAAACCTCGTTTTCGATTTCCTGATGAAAAAGAAACCACTTCCTGCCGCCAAAAAAATAAGGTCGATCCTTACATTTCGAGAAATGCATTTTGTAGTGACTTCTGGTCCCCCATTTTTTCCAAAGTTCTACGCAAACAGGCTAGAGTTCTCGGTGTGTTTACCAGAAAGAAACCCTGGCCAGATACACACTAGACCGCTCGGAAAGATACTCGCGGAGCATATACTGATCGATGTCCTGAACAACTAGCATGCAGAAGCTAGGACGCAGCCTTAGCTGCAGACGTGACGGGAAGGAAGATCTGTACCAGTCTTCGTATCTCGAGCCCGCGCGCGGTCTTTGTTGCCCCCGTTAATCTTTCGCGATTTCCTAATTTTAAACCGCCGAAGTCTCCTCGGGAAAACACCAACTTGCCACCTCGTTCTTCTTCGCATCACTGTTTATTTTTAATGCTTCCAAAATGAATTGTCGCTGAAACATTGCAGTAAAATCGAAAATCGAAGAAACACCCGTCCATATCGTCCAATTCGTACTTTTCGTCGCCATTACGCGTGTCCAAAAAAAGAACATTCATTGAGAAAATATCTTTCTCTCTAAATACAATCGTAATTTAAAGCACATAACAATGGTCTTAAATGTAGTTTTTTTTGTTCTTTAACGTAATCAGCGGTCTCAGATTGTGAGCCGGATCCTGCCGGTCGGTTTTTGGCTGTTCGGATCAGCCTCGGATCGGTGCGGAGTAGTAACGGTTGACCGTGCTCGGTCATCACGGCGGAGCGGTGATCCCGGTGTAGCTCGCCGGATCTCCAGGCGTGCTTTCGTGTGTGTGTGTGTGTGTTTGTGGAAGTGAGTGAGCGAGTTCAGCAGTGTGGTTTAATAATCGCTGTTTATTAGTACGTTGTTCGGTACAGATGGTCGTGCGAACGGAACTTTAAATCCATCTTCGAGAAAGTAAATATTCGATGACAGTTTCGACGTGTTGTCTTGCGTTTCCCGGTATCGCGTTTTACGGAGCTCGGCGTTCGATGTTTCGGCGTTCGCGAAATAGCCGCCGTCGTGTATATCTATATATATATAGGATGTACACGCTGGTCGCGGTGCCTAGCGCAGCGGCGGAAAGCGGGCGCGTTGTTGCCCTGTGGCTTTAATTCGTGTGCAAATGACGGGATGCACTCGCGGGTCGCGGTTTCACGATACGCTCGGTATCTACGCGGTCGGTCGCAGGGATATCCCGAGGTCTGCCCATGGGGCGTTCGCTGGCCCCGGAGACGCAATGCCCGATGACGGGAGTAGAGCGGGCGAGGTCGAGAAATCTCGGCGAACACACCACCCCTGCTCGTCCCTATCTCCAGGTCCGCGCCACGAGCGAGACGGCGAACTCACCGTCCCGTAAAGGTAGTTGGCGCCCGCGACTTCCACGGGAGAGACCGCGTAAACACGACCTCGGTCTTGCCGGAAGGTTGTCAGTTGCGCACACACCGTCGCGGTTCCTCGACCTGGGGATCGGGAGCAGCCTGCGATCTCTCGATCCGGCGGAATCGGCCTCTTTTCCACGGCGGAGCAGGTTTATATACCGCTTCCGCCGTGGTTCTTTGGCACGCCGTTGTTTACAACAATAACGGTTTGTTGCTAGCGTGGGTACACACGCGAGTCACGTGTGCAGGCTTTTGTGTAAGCGCCGTTAGCGGTCCGACGGATGGTCGGTCGGCCGGGGGGATGCATCGTTACAAAATAAAATCACTTCACTCAAACTTGCCCGCACACGATTGCCAAGCGGTACGACAGTTGTTCCGGTCACAAATCCTGAGACTTAAGACACAAAGGATCGTGCTAGGGGAAAATCGGGAGATCGTTCAGTTGGTGGTCAGGACGTAGATGCTGCAATTCTTATGCATTCGCTTGATGTGCCTGCTAATGTTGGCCTTCCACTTGCCGCGATAATCGCAATGCGGGCACTTGAAACGCGGCTCCTTGCCGCACTCGTTGCGCAAATGTCTCTTCAGGGTGCACTTCCAAACGAAGATTCTCGAGCAGTTCGGACAAGGGAACTTTTTATGCGTGCCGTAGTTACGCAGTTTCTCCTGCAAGCCCGGGACGAGATAGATGCCTGCGAACACAGAAGCAGTAACGCCTGGTTAATGGAAATGCGTGCGAGCTTAAATACCGTGCCAGCTTAAATACCGTTTCACATGATTGCTCGGATTTTGCAAGGAGATTAAGCTCGCGTGTGTGCAAGAGTCGGACGAGTGGTGTTTAAGGAACGACGAATGAATGCCCAAGATGCATTATTTATTTCACGACCCGCGAATCCTCGAGCGAGATGATCCGCTGGAGCCTGTTAAAATCGATGCGACGAAGTTTCTCGCGACATCGTCTCAAGATTGCTGCGGGACATGAGAAAGGGGAAAGTTTGAGAAATAAGGTAAGACTAGCCTGATGATGAGGAAATGATGAATTTGAGGCGAATCGTACGAATTTAACGGGCGATCGGGTGTAATTAACTACACACTCGGTAAGCGTGGTCGTAACAAAATTTATTTTTCTTTTTTCTTTTTTGAAGCAACAGTTGTGCAACAATACGGTGATTTTAGGTAACGCACACTCTGGTAGAAAATATAATATAGTGTATAGCATATATTGCGTGTTGTGCTGTCGGTGTAATCTGGATATTTCAATGCACGGATAGTGCACTAATATTTCAGAGCGCATCAACCGACAGTACTAAAAACAATACATTAAAGAATAATAAACAATGTTATGCATTATGCATTATCACATCTATTCATCGATTAACATTAACATATTTACTTTGTAGCATATCACACGCTAAAGTGTACAGGCTTATTTACACACGTGGCCGTCATATATTCTCGTGCAAACGTGTTCGCAAAAGCTTCGACGCATTTATGTACACGATAATGTCTATAATGTTATATGCAAAGCAACAAAAAAAATACGCGGTTCTTTGGTAATAATAGAGGCAATTTAAAGAACAATATTACTACAATCCTTTGCCTTGCGAAAAGAACGACACTCGCGGCGAGCTTATGCAATCGCGAGACTTAAGAAACTGAAAAATTCATTACATCGTCGTAATAACTGCACGGAAAGAAATTAGTATCAATTTAAAATTCTCACACATGTAAGCAAAAATATATAATCTTAAATGAAAATAAAACTTGCTTATATATGTATATATATATATATATATATACACACACATAAAGTATACACACATAAAATATACACACGTAAAGTAAATATATTATATATATATACACATATAAAGAAATTCTTCTGAAAAATGATTTTGAATGATGATGAATAACAAAATAAATTTAGAGAAAAAAATATATATTTTACAAAATAATATTTACTTATTTATAAAATAATATCTTCAAATTGATACAAATCTGAACTTAAAGGTATGGTTCTTTCTAATATTTTTTTCCTCTCAATTCATGAAAATTATTGTTGAATAACAAAAATATAATATTTTTAATGGAACTATGGAGAATTTTTCGCGCGCGCGCGCGCGCGCGCGCGCGCGTGTGTGTGTGTGTGTGTGTGTGTGTGTGTCAGCAAGTTTTAACTTCATATAAGATTATATATTCTTGCTAATATATAAGAACAACTTGAATTAATAATAATTTTTTTCCCGTGTGCTGAAAAGCGCCAAAGACAATTTCGTATGTCCTAATGAAGAAGACAAAAGCATGTCATTAGAGCTTATATTCGTCGTAGAATCAAGTCTAATCGAGCAATATCTTCATGACACCACTAATAAGAACTTGCTACACCTTTTATCCTATCCTCACCCCGCGAACCCTTCAATTAAAGTCCTAGATATAAATAAAGAGACATAACTGAATTCGATATATAAAAAATCCGCCACTTTCTTTGCATGGTGGTACTTGGAGCAAGCGAGTAGAGAAATGGGGAAGAAAGATGAATAAGAAAGAAAAGTTAGATTACAAGAGACGGTTAGATCAAGAATCAGTCTACGTGAGAAGACCCTTTCTACAATTTTCAGCTGTGCGTCACAACCCGGTGCATCACACGAAAAAGGATTTTATTGAGTCGTGATATGACCAAAAGTACAAAAATATTATAACTTAATATTATAACTTATTATAACTTATTATAACTTAGTACATCATACGCTTTTAGTCGTGATATGCAAAAAAATGGCCCAAATCGTGTGATTCAGAGATCTGGTGAAACTGACTTCCTCCATTGCGCTTCTCCATTTATACCTAAGAACGGTATTCACAGTCAGATCTTATACTTAAAATCGTTCATCTTCGGACGCTGACCGGTTCATTTTAGTTAGTTACGGAGCATCTCAAGATGAACTTAATACGATCTTAGATATGAGGTCTGATTGAATGAATACCAGGCTAGGGCTCCACTTTCAACGACACTCTCGAGTGCGACAGGGTGCCAGAGTGCCACGGGGAGTGCGCGATCCTTGAGATTCTCGTCGAAGCTTCGTGATCGGGCCGACACTTTCAGGGTTTCTTGACGCAGCGTTTGACCACGTCGACGGCCAGCACCTCGTGTCTCTTGTGATTGGCACGGACGTGCCTGTAAACGTCGCTGCGCAGCTTGCACCGGTGACTGCAGTAGGGACACTCGAAGCGCGGATTCTGCCCGCACGCGTACAGCAGGTGCCGGCTGAGGCTGTTCTTCCGTTTGAAACTGCGGTGGCAGCTGGGACAGCGGTAGCACAAGTCGAAGATCTCGAACGGCTGCAGCAGGATACCCTCGAGCTCTACAGCATGGAACAACGGAAAGAACGAATGAAACGCCTGGACATGCACTGCGTCTCATCGTCACACGTAACCGCGCGCACGTGCACGCGCTCAAGTGCGAAGCAATCGAAGAAGCGTGATTCGTAATGTTGCAATGGTTTCTATCGAAATGTCTCTCCTCGATTTCTCGGGGCTGTGTGTTCGTTTATTGTCGACGGCTCGCGGAGTTTACCGGGACGAGACGGCCGGTGAAAATGAAAAAATGCAAGAAGCGAAGAGAACGAAAGCGGTTCGAGGTGAACGATTTTCGTCTCGCAGAAATCGCTGGAGGGAAGGGGAAAAGGGGGATGTCGATTTATTGTATAGACGGTATTTATCGCATTTACAGTCTTTAATAGGGATATCATGGATTCATGTATTGGTGTAGCAGATTCACACCAAATTTTCATTCGTTCCAAAAAAAAACGTTTATTTAACGTCCTAAAAATCCTAACAGGCCTTCTCTTTCTTTATCAGTAGAAGGGTTACATATGAAGCGTGAAGAGAGAAAATGTGAGCCTTCCTGATGCAAACTAAAACCGAATATTTGCACCTGAGAAGAAAATACAATCACGCGACATACCTTATTAATAATAATATCACTTTCATCTCGTTGCGCGAAGTCGGAGGCGCGAAGAGAGCTGAGATTAAATCTACCGATAAGCGTGCGTAAATCTCTTCACACAATCGATATCACACTTGACGGTGAGGAACCGCCGTAACAAAATTAATATGGCGAATACAGCGACGTATTGCAGCCTACATGACTGATCACTCACGTTACGTTATGCGCGCACATCGACGTAATTGGCGTATACCAACATATCACAACATATGAGAACGTGCGGGTCGCACGTCGATTACTCGCGAATGTCGTCGAAGGTAGAATCTTAGGTTGATATTCAGATTATCGGAGATCAAAGACGAGTCACACATCCGAGACACGTGACGCCGTCGGTGTCGGTGAGCGAAAAAGAAGAAAATCCGACTAGAAAAGGTAAGGAGAGAAAATGTCAAGATCATGGAAATAATTAGCAATGCACATTCTTGTGAAGTATTTGCAGTTTGCGAGCAAATCTCTGCAAACGCGCAGACACGATAATGCGGATCAAGTGTAAAATCAAGTGTAAAATCAAGTATTCCGGTGGTTACAATCGGTTACAAAAACCACAACCGGAGCTTGCGGAGATTCGCTAACGCTTCGTTAAGGGGAGGTTCTCATCAAGCGACCTAAAAATGACATGTTTTTCAAGAATTTTTTCCTCAAAGACGGAAGTAGATATTAATGTCAAATTTTGTACATATATTTATTAACTATTAAAGTATGCAAAAAAATTTTTTTAGTCAAAAATATTCAAAATTGTCCATTTTATAGATGGCGCAACTTGACGATCTGAAAAAAAGGTGTCTTGATGGTGGGAACTGTGGTACTTCGGAAAATTATCTGAAAGCAAATTTTCAAAAAGATTTATAAAATATATGATATTTGTTGAAGCTTATACCTACTTTTGCGATAAAAAGTCGAAAATTAACAAAATGGCGGATATGCGGACTCAAAATACCGATTTTTCAACGTTTTTTTGCTCTTTAAAGTTGAATAAAAAAAAAATAAAAAGCAGGATTCATCCCAAAGTAGGTATAAGCTCCAATAAATTTAATTTACTTTAAAATAAAAAAAAAGGATCCATCGATTAGTTTTTGCTCTATGCTTCCCACCAGTTTCAAAAACATAGTTTCGAGAAAAACGCGTTTAAAGTTTCGGTTAACGATTTTTTGAATAAAACAATAAATTAATGCAACTTACAGCTAATCTGCAATTCCAGGACCATATAATAAACCTTCTTCTACTTCGTAACGTTGCATTTGAGATAATTGGTCCGATTTCCGTGATGATGAAGCTGCTCTTGCGGCAGGAATCATATTACGTTCAACTGCATTTATACGTGCTTCATCTGCTGCCTTGACAAAATTACTTGATTCAAGTCCAATAGAGATTCCTAGCACATCCATAATTTTTAATAAAATAATATGACCTTCATTAAAGAGAGAGACACCTATATAAGAAGCGATATCAATGGTTACGGAGCCGCTGTGCAAATGTTTTGGTGCAAGCCTCCATATCGAAGCGTTGACGGACTCGTTCGAATTTTGAGTGTCATAATCACATAATTCGATGTTACATCAACTGGAAACTCATCGTAATCGGCGTTCTTTAACTTTTTTGCAGAAGTACTTACTCCGCGTCACACTCATTACTATACTGATTCCCTTGGAATTTTTTTTTATGACCTTTAGTTACACGTTCATTTGAACGTCTAAGGGATAATCTCTGGATAAAGTCGAAGGGCTCCTTCGTCACCTATCCTTTCTTCCTAAATAAGGCATATTTTTAAACAAATAACTCTTTTGAACTGTTTTATTACGCAGCACGTGTTCAACTGACGCTACACACTATACCCTTCGATATTATTGTATATAGAGGCAAACTTTCTAATATTTTATTACCAAAGTACATATCCTGACATCTGATGGTACTTAAAATAACTATAATAACCATAGAATATTAATATAGGCGCATATTTCAAAAATATTACGATAAAATACACTCTACCGCTCTATTTTTACGTGATTTTGCGTAAAAAGGTGTCTTCGAATATTACGCTATAACTCTTTTAAAAAATTTTTTTCGGCAAAATCCTTTTGGATACATATTCTACACATGACAAACTATCAAAAAACGTAAAAAAGGAAAAATCGATTTTTAGGTCGAGTTTCATGAAAACCTCCCCTTAATAACGCGCAAAAGTAGTCCGGTAGCGTGTGCGAACCGCTTCGTGCGGCTTATCGACGCAATGTTTGACGACATCCAGCGCGACCACTTCTCTACTCTTGTGACTGGTGCGCACATGTCTGTACACATTGCTGCGCAAATTGCAGTGAAACCGGCAATATGGGCACTTGAATCGCGGATTTTGTCCGCAGGCATACAGCAGATGCCTGCTGAGGCTGTTTTTCCTCTTGAAGATGCGCCCGCATGTGGAACACGGATGCCTAATCTGGATAAGGTCGAAGGGCTCCTTCGTCACCTCGTCACCTGAAAAACACGTAAGCAAAGGACGCGCGATCAGTGATTGCGCTAAAGTTGCAGCTCTCGATGTTATATTCGCGCCAACCTGTTCGATCGTAAACACGAATTCAATGGCGAAATTAATCCGACGATTGTTCTCGAAGAGTTATTCTATCTCGTATGCGAATGTTTCGTGCGCTTGAGAAGATAAAACGTTGGCGTTACTGCGAAAATTGCATCTGGCATATGAAAGTATACAGATATTGGTTAAAGCAAACTGTGAACGAATCACTCGGAATTTCTTGACATTCGACGAAAGAAATATTACGAGGTGATTCTCTCCGTGAATATCTTCGTCGTGACACTTTTCGGAGATTACGATCTCGTTTGCCGAAGTTTCGACATTAGTAAGCTAGAACTTAAATAATACGTGCGGCCAGTCACGAAAAGGTTGTCGGTCACTGTATTTTTTTTATGAAATGCGCAACGCATCTCGTATCCGACAGGGAAATGTATCTCCTAAAAATTACTAAAAGACAAATTCTCCCATTTGACACAGGATGCGTTTCGAAACTAAATAAAAAAGTGTTGCAACTTTTTTGTGACTGACCACACATGATATCGAATAGCGGTAAAGATAAACCTTCCTTTACCTTTTCTCCGTTTAAATCAACATCACGTCCATTTCCGACTCGTTAAGATCCCATCGCAACTTACATCCAACAACGTGACACACAATTTCAACACCTAGACACGTAAGGATGACAGTAACAAGAAAACATATTTGCTGAAAATGCGATTTATTTAAATTCTTTTTCATTTTAGCGACAACTTAAAAGTAATATTCTTATATTTTCGGTGTGCCTGGACCGTCCTATATTAAATGAGTCGAAAAAATACTCGTGCAATTATTGTTTTCATGCAAATCGAAATACAACATGTAATATATGTGTGCGTATTTATACTTTATACGTTATTATATACAGGGTGTCTCAGACCACCCGTCTCACCCGATTTTTTCGTAAA